TTCTTTCTGTCAGGAGTATAACTTTTTTTCAGCGCTGTTGCTGATCATTTGAGATAACTGGCCAATTTTATAAATATTTCAGTTTGTGAGTTATATTAGGTAACTCTAATTCAGTTGTTAGGTACAGTACAATACAGTAGCAGTATTTTGTCTGTAGGGCTCCTAGTAGAAGCCTTCCTAAAAATCGGAAATCAACCTCTATTTTGAGGATGAAAAACGTATCAAAAATCTTTGAAGGTTTGCTCCATAAAAACTTGGAACGTTAGCTTTGGAAATCCAAATGAAGTACAGTATTACACACACCATTTTCTTTCCCAGACTTTCTCTACAATCCGATCGTACTTCAAAATATACCATGCATACGCCTCACTTTTATTTCATCAATCTTTCTGGGCACCCCCAAGATCAACCACTTGCCTCAGCTGCGGTGTGAGCGAATTTTTTTTTACACAATTTGTTTGATTTTCCAACTATTCATCCTTTTAATTTTCTTGAAGCAAAATTTCTGACTGCCATTTACAGATAAGCTTGCCACAAAAAAAACTCAAGGGATACGGTGACATTTTTTGCAGGAAGAATTTTGTTGTAGAAATCCAATATAACATGAGGAGAGAACCCAAAGGGCAAAACATTGTTCTACAGAGAAAAGTTTTGCAAACAACCTCAGTGTAGAGAGAGTCCATCTGGAAAACAAAGTTATTTTTACCAGTTCATGATGATGGTCACTTCTTCAAGAAAATGGAAGATTTGATTTATAAATAGGAAAATAACAGACTCTAATTTTTTCAGTATAAATGAGAATAAGAAGGAAAATTTTAATCTTATATAAAAATGCTGCATTCATCCACAGGCACAACAATCCAACTCTTGTGACTTAAATATTCCTTGTACAGTATTTTTATATGGTGGCTACAGCATATACTCTACAGTCTACACTCTACAGAGTCCTACACTAAGGGAGCTGATGAGCTCTCACTCCAAAGCGTGGAGGTCCAAACTTTTTTGCTCAAAGGGCATGCTTAAAAGAACCAAGCTCTCCCTGACCTGTGGCAATCGGAGGTCAGAACGTGAATCTACAAAAACAGAACCCCAGCATACACCATGGGCCAAGAAAAGTGAACCAACTTTTCACTTGAAATAGCTTGGTAGCAATTTTAGCTGTGACAATGAAAAAAAAAACACTGAATGAACGCTTGTCCAATTCCCTTACAAATGGTATGTAGTTATATGGTCCCAAGTGCCAAGGAATGGTGACACGAACCATTTGGATGGAAACTTCCCAAACAAAAAAAAAAAGTTGTCAGGCAACTTTTTCCATTAACCTGCTGTTCTTGAGAATTGTTGCCATGAATAAAGAGTATGCAGGATGCAATAATTTAGCCAGCAAACTTCATGCTGCCTTGGATATAGCCTGCAGGTGTTCTTGCCCAGCATGTTGCTAAAGGAAACGTACCTGTGTGCGGGGATTCCGTTCAGCCAGGGTTAGTTGCGTGTCCGGGAATTGACCATAGTGCGATCGGAGGGGATTAATTATTCCCGGCGCGCGGCCCAGCGTGGGTCATTTGCAGCATGACAACCGCGACCCCTGGCTCCCCCGTGACCCGGGTTGCCCCGCATTCACGCCTCATCTACCAACGCGTCCATTTCCGCCCCCACAACGCGTTTGCCTACAGTGAGCAAGGGAGAACCAATTTTTTTTTTTTTTTGCAACAGGGCCTGGACCTCGTGTCTGTAAGCTCCTGCATAGAACAACTAACGGTGCACCGTTCTGTGTTCAAGTGTATTCAATGATTCGAAAGAAGAAAAAAAATGCGCGCAGGACATGAATTTGGAATTTGTTGAAAGCATCATTTGCGAAGAAATCCATCTTTTTTTTGTGGCGTAGATTGGATTCACAATAATAGATTCACGTAGAGTGCCAGGTTTGAATTTGCAAGCCTTATTCTTTGTATAGAGGAATCTCTGGGAATAAACCTGCGGCAACCCTACCTATCTTCTAGATTTGGTCTCAATTGAAGACATTAATTCCATTCCATCCATTGCACTGATGAGTACAGTAATGTGGGGCCAAAGTTCCGAGTAGCACACACCCCCTAAATGTCCAATAAAACGACTCAAGCTCAAGAGGATTTTCAAATAAACTACGGCAACTACAAAAAAATTACGCGTTAGATTTCAATGTGGAGTCGAATTTTAAAACGTTTGGTCACAATTTTCAATTCTAGTCTAAGAAAGCTGGCAGTATTATAGATCATCATGATTGGAAAGGCTAATGATGGTGTTGAGGTTCCTCTCACTTTGGTATGTTTTCCGCGCACCCACGTTAGATTCGATGGATCATTGATTTAAAAGTTGAGATTTTTCTCTGTCCATGCCTCAATGATAAAGTCTCAGTTTGCCTAAAAATAAGGCAACGTTTTGCAATTCCAAGGTTCATTGGGTACATCTTTTGAACCACCCTATTGCACTGTTCAAACCGTATGTGTAAGTTGAAATTCTTCTTGGAGATTTAATGTTAGTCAACTCAAGTTTGGGAAAATTCTTGCTGTGCTTGAGAATAAGGCTTAGGAAATTGGTGCACACTGGGGATATGTTTGTAATTCTACACAGTGACCCTGCAGTGCACCTGAAGTGTACCAAAGTTCTTCGGTTGCACATGAATATCCATAATGTGCACCAATTGTGTGTTCATGCCAGGATTACTCAGGGTCACATTTGTAAACTAATAATAGTTACACCAAGGTTACAGTTGGTGCATTTGTATGATACTCCTGTTAGGTCACATTTGAGCACCAAGTGTAGCCCTGGAATGGTAGAAAAATTTCCTCTACAGGAGTGCACACTTGTAACCCCATAATATCCCATATGCACCAGTTGTGACCCTGGTGTGCACCTACTGTGGGATCACAGCAAAAATAGCTCCTCACTCTGGATGATATTGTTCTGTTGCAGCATCTGTGTAGTTCTGTGTTTCAAATACTGCATCAAGGGGGATTTGCTCCATCAGTATTCTCCAATAGCTTCCAACATGATTCACTGTACTAAAGAATCTGAATTGAAAAGGCATTGTTCATCTGGATGCATGAATCAGTAATCAATGACCATTGCATGTCATGAGTTGACTGAAGTGGTCTGCATTTTCTTTTTCACCAATGCGTTTCAACATATTGCTGTCATGGAAGTCTCCATGCACTCATGTATACAGTGAGACCCCCACATGTGGACACCTTGACCTGTGGACAGTTCAACATAGGGACACTTATTTTCCCAGAAAAAATAAAATAGGCCCAACATGAGGACACTGACTCAACATAGGGACATTTTGTGATACAATTGCAAATTAATTTCAGGCCAAATTACAAGAAACAGATATTTGCAACCCAAAAATTGATGTAAGAAAAGTTCTTGGTCATTTCTCTCACCAATTTACCATCCATATACTCATGATTCATCAGACAAATCACGCACATCATATGCCTCCATGTTGTCACCAATGCATGCACGTTAGGGAACAGAATTCAAAGGTGTATTGTGGGGAAAGTAGAAATACAGTGAGACCCCAATATGCGGACATAATTCGTGCATCAATAGTGTCCATAAGTTGAGTCTCATTTTCCCTTAGACTTACATTATGTAATTTTTAATTGGTGTTTTATGTACAAAATACTCACCATAATTCNTCTAAGGGAAAATGAGACTCAACTTATGGACACTATTGATGCACGAATTATGTCCGCATATTGGGGTCTCACTGTATTTCTACTTTCCCCACAATACACCTTTGAATTCTGTTCCCTAACGTGCATGCATTGGTGACAACATGGAGGCATATGATGTGCGTGATTTGTCTGATGAATCATGAGTATATGGTGCAATGATACCCGAGCTCCATTTTTAATTCATGTGAATTGTGTTGCATGCCTCGTATATATGAACACTCCTTTCCGCCATTCTCGCATCGGCTATTATACATGTTAACCCATGATAGTGAAAAGACTGAATCAGACGATATTCCGTTAGTCTTCCTGGATTTATGCATGATTTTTCCGCTTCACAGCACGCATGAGCATGTTTTTTCTTATATGCTTGGATTTTTACCGCGTTCATCAGGAATTAGGAAGTGCGTTTGTATCTTGGTACTTTTCTGGACACAGCAACAATTCTAGAATATTTTCCGGATGATGTGGTGAATTTTTCATTTTTATGGTGCCCATTGTATTTGAAACTTAAATTTGGTACCCTGCACCTTGCTAATCGTGATAACATGAAAACCAGGTACAGGGTACCAAATTCAAGTTTTGAATACAATTGGCCAGCATAAAATTGAAAGCATTCACCAGATCACCGCACTATCCGGAAAATATTGCGTAATTTTTGCTATTGCCAGAAAAATGCTGACATTTTGACAAGACTAAGTTGGCCGAGAAAGGAATGAAAATATACTGTATACTTCCTCATTGGTGAAAGTAAATTTCAATAAAATCAAAATCTCTATTAATTAATCCCCAGACTTGGCTTCATGTAATTTTCCACTGTTCAGTGGAGTAGAAATCCAGCAATCAAAACAGTGCCAAAAATCTAGTTCTGGTAGTTGATTAGGCACCCTGTGACTTCCTGCTGTTCCCAACAGCAGAGAACACCTGAATGGGATTGATTTTGAGGACAGCAAAAGCCTTATTTATTTACACCATGAAAGAGCAGCTTAATCTACAAACAGAACTGATCTTTTTGGCACTGTTTTGATCTTTAGATTTGATCATTAAATTGGCAGAGCCTATGTTGAACAGCACTGAAGTGTCTCTAATCTTATCAAAAAGTCTCTAATCTTATGAACAAACCCTCACAGTTGAGTGCAAAAAAATTACAAAACAGTTCATTCATTGGCAAAACAATTGAATTACTTCTTTCGTCAAAATTCTTCATTTGTTACTACTGTATGACTGAGAGATCAATAACGGGTGGAGCAATATTCAGAAATTAACTTGAACCAGTATCCCTTGTTTACCAGATCTCGGGGATAGCCTCAGGGGGGAGTGCAATAGAAGTGTGATTTTTGTTGTTGTTGTTGTGGAATTCGAGTTTTGCCACCAAGAATGGTGACATCTGCAAAGGCGCATGTTCGGCGGAGTTCGGCGGACGACGCTCTGCACACTTCCGGGAAGGCGGCGACTAATTCCTTTTCCGGGAAAAGCACGTTGCCCCGGTCCAGTTCCGGGTCCGGGTGAGTACAGCTAGAGTACCCAGTACTGCATTCATCATTCAACAGCGTTCCCTGCTGCTGATGATGGCTGGGATCGAGAACGAACGTCACGTCACGCGTGTTGATTGCGTGACGGTCGTTTTTTGAAGTCGATTCCTTGTGACGACGACCCCTACCCCGCGGAATGTGGGGAGGTTTTTTTTTATTTAATAGAAGTGTTTGGTTATTCGTAAATTTGAAGATTCGAAAAGTAGAATGTGTTTCACTGCGTGACAATTTCATTTTTTTGCTGAAAATGTGTATTGCCCAAAAGCAAACCACTATATATATTTTTTAAATCCTAAATCAGCTCAGGGTTGAAATAAACTCTTATCCCCAAAAAATGAACATATTCCTTTCTCTATAAATTAAATTTGAGCCAAAAAAGAATCAACCAATACTGAATGACAGGATCTTTCTTGTTCTTTATGGCTGTGGTGATTGACAAAATAACTTACTCCTCTTTAAACGTAAGCATGCATTTTCAGCAACACAAACAGGTAATGACAAAGAGACAAGAAATAATTAAGGAAAGAGTGTTCAGGCACCCTCTTATCATCTCAGATGCACTCAAACAGTGAATGAACTTGCGCAAATGTTAGAAGTAAACCAGGGTGATTTTAAAGTAAATAATAACATATGGGGGCTTGTTCAAAAAAAGGCAACTGAATTGCTACAAGAAGCAATGAAAGTATGAGTATTTAATGCCAGTATACTGGTTTTTTGTATATGAACTGCTGTACACTTGGAAATATCCTGGATGACAAATATTTTGACTTAATTGTTATCTTCTGCCTGCTACCAATATTCAAACTGCTGCTAAGCATGTTAAGCCATGAACAGTGACAGGTCATTTTCCATCATGTGGCAGTGCTAAGAAATGTTTGCATGCTTGTGCATTTTGGTTTGACCTAAGGTAGCCAAATGCAGCTTTGATGGCTGAGTGGCCATAGAGTCTGGAAAAGTCTGGAAATGTGAAAACCATTGTTTTTGAAATGGCTCATTCTTAATCCTATGGCATGAATGTGGAAAAAATTCCACCCAGCAGTAAATATATATATATATATATATATATATATATTTCACTTTGTACACAAAATACAGGAATGCTGTTGTCAGGGATACTATGCTGCCAACCAAGGAATACCCGCTTCTGCAAGTGGCAGGCATTTGGAATGCTGGGCATGAGTGGGTTACCAGAAAAGTCACACATGGACAAGTTGTACAGCAAAAAGTTATACAGCAACAACTTGCATAACAACAGCTCCTACAGTGCAACAACTTGCAAAGTTTTTTCCCTACTAAACTGTAGTTGTTTAAAATTCAAATTCAGGCAAATGTGACTACTTTTTGAATGTACAGTAGATTATATTTTGTCCTAAATTAATTCTACGAATTTTCCATTTTCTAAATACAGAAAATGGGGCTTGAGAGTATAAAAAATGCCAAGATAAATCTTTCCATGAAAATCTCTCTGGTTTTTTTTTGCATGGAGGAACAGGATTCTGTTTATCCTCAAATTTTTTTTCAATAGTTGTGTTTTCAATCTGGTCAAGGATTATTCTGATGAACGGAAAATTATTCAGGTGAAGTTAGTCAAATTATGTTGGTCAATTTTGGGATGGTCATGCATATGCAGCAGATTGTCTTGCATCAAGTTGATATATGCTTCATTTTTTGTGTTTTTTCCAAATCTATAATTGGCACATGATATTTGGCACATGTATTGGAATTATTCTTGACTAGATTGAAAACACAAGCATTAAAAAAGTGAGGAAGAACCAAATCGTATTCCTCCATGCCAAAAAACCAGAGAGATTTTCATGAACAAATTTATCTTGGCATTTTTTAATGATCTTGAGTCCCATTTGTATATTTTTAAAGTAAAAATTGATGCAATTAATGTTGGACCAAAGATAATCTAGATGCAAAAATGTATGCATATTTGCCTGAACCTCAATTTAAAAAATAAAAGTTTAGTTGGAAAAAAACTGTGGGAGTTGTCACACTGTTTGAGTATTTGCTGTAGGAGTTGTCACACTGTGCAAGTTGTGGCTGTGCAACTTGCCCCTGTGCGGATTGTTGGGGAACGGCATGAGCAAGTTTTTGTGGGATCCCAGAAAAAAAGAACAGCTGTCCATAATATCTGTGCAGTTATATAAAGAAAACAAGCTTGAATTAATTTCTGCATCAGCTTCGCACTTCACAGGGGTTTCTTTTCCAATATTTTCTTTGAAGGAAACGAGCAAGATTATTTTCTCCTGGGTTTCCCTAGCAAAAGCCTTCAATGCCATGAACGAAATTTAGTTATCATGTGGGGGTATGTACACTACCGTATTTTATTTTCGCAATTTCTGGGGCGGATCAAAAATTGCATTTTTATGACCTTGAAAATGGTCTTACAGTATCGATATTATTCATGGACAGGATTAATTTCTTCTGTAACCACAAGCAGGACACATGTGTGAAGCCTAGAAAGGTAATAAATATGTAATCTCTAGCTTATTTTGATTACTTGTTTGGATATGTTCTCAATCAGGACTTTAATCTACCAAATACTGATGCATGCTATGGGTTTTTCCGAATTGTGTTTTAATCATAAAAACATCAGCTTTTAGTAGGCTGTCTTAAAATTCACTGGAACTTGACTACAACAGTGAATTCATTATTACAGTATTTACACTACCAAAAACGTCAGACGTAAGCTTTAGTAGCAACAAAAAGCATGTTTTATTAGGGCCTGTGGATCCTGTACTTTTAAATTGCCCCGTAAAACGGCTTTAGCCTTTAAAGAACCCAGTGAGCTTTAGTCAAAACAGCAATTATTTGAATTCGGATTTATGATACTGTGGCCGTTCATTTCATATCGAAGTTGCGAAAGTTTCAATTCACACCTTTTGTGCTTCAAATGACACTCGACGATATTGCGAGGACAATTTCGAAAATTTGTGCAGGAAATTACGGAAAATATCACCAACGCGATGCTTATTGACTGTTGTATTCAAACGCCGTTTCCTTGTTATGTTGGCTGGAAATGTTGACAAGTTACGATTTTTGGAAATTCTGCCAAGAGTCATTTTCAAAATTGCCCAACTATCAGTAATGCATTTTTTACCCAAGTGAGTATGTAAATTGTTTTTTTAAGGGCGTTTACAAATTAATAAAACAGATGCAAACGGAAATCAATAAAATATTGATTAAAAAAATGCAATTCGAAGTCATTCATGCATTCTGCTTCTTCCTTTTGAAATATCATATAGACAGTACTTAGAATATTTATTAGAGACTAAGAAGTCTCAACAAAGAAGATATGAGAATAATAAAGGAAACATCAGCCTGGGACTGGCTGGGAGCCTCTTTATAGAGGCCCAAAAGACTTGAGTATTTAATAATGTCCCAGAGAATGATACAACTCCAAGAATTTTGGACTTAGCACACATATACTTTCACACAACACAATGATAAAATCAGATGTCTCAAGAGCTCTTCATACTTCAAAAATTGGCAGTGGATTGAATTCTGTGTTCCTGGTTTTTGAGACAGAAGAAAGAGAAGGAAAGTAGTTATCCTTGTGGGTAAATTATCGGCCTCTGATTGGCTGATTAGGTTGGAATCAAAGACGATGCTGTGCATTGTTCACAATTCCTTGGGGACTCGTTTTTCGGTGCTGGGCTTCTACAAAAGGACCAGCATTTGGGATTCAGGAATGCAGCAGGGATTATTATTATAATAATTATTTATGGGTGCCTGACTCAGTCCCCAACAATATTCGAATCTTTTCCAGCGCATTACCAGGAAGGAAAATGTTGTTCAGTAACACCAGTGCCTTCCTACAATGTTACATCTGCCAAATTGTTGTAAAAGATTGACCTGATGCCGGAAAAAGGCCTTTTCTTATAGAGTCATGATTATTATCCTGGGTCATGGTGAACAAAAGCAGAGGGATTCTTCTGTTCAATCGTGGATTAATTGTACCATGCTCAAAATCTGAGTAAAAATCAGTGCTTTCCGGTTTGATCGTTATTTTTAGCTGAGCACTATTTATTTCCTGTTAACAACCTGCTGGTTTTCGTACTTCTGCAAACTTGTAACCTCTAAAGCCGTACTAAAAAGAGCTGTACCAAGCTCTCATTTTGCATGTATTGGTGCTCATGCCATGTCATGAACGACATTTAATAAAAGTCGTCAAGAACCTTACTGCTTTTTTCGCGTAACCAATTAACTGCAAAATTGTCTGACTGTACCAATCAATTAATTGTTGTTTTTCCTGTTGATAAAAAATTAGGAAAAAGGTTCCCCCGTTTCCCTTAGATTTGTCTCAAATTCAAGCTACAAAAAATGACAGTGCAGAAGAAAACCACAATGAATCTTATCTTCTGGCATCAGACAGAGCTCAAGAAGCAGATAATAAGTACAACTCTATCTATGCCGTGTACAGCAGATGATGAGCAAACTCTGAAAAAAGGAGCAAAAAAATAGCCTGTGTACAATTTTGAATTAAAGTGACATCATGAAAGAGGATTTTGAATATTTATGAACATGGAAATCTCAATTTCCTTAAGTGAAGAAAAGTTTGAAAAAATTAAATATTCAATGCATCTAGAAATGTTGTTGATACTTCAATAAGTCATTGACTGGATGTTGATCACTTTTGTTTTCACTTATCAAATGTCCCTATATGTAGAATGTCTGTATATGTTGGGGCATGCATATTCTCATGGGTCCATTGGATCCCAGACAATGGAATTGAATTTTGCAACAATCAGAATGCAAGTTTTGATTAAGAACTCAAACTTGTTTCAGATGAGTTCATTTGCATTGTCCAGATTGTCATTCAGCTGTTAGTAAAATACTTAAAATGGCAGAGTCACTTGTAAGATTGGTTGGTTAGCTCAGAAGAATTAATAAGGTTATTTAACCATTGGACAGCGGAGGGTTCTCTCTTAGTGCATGGCAGAGTTGGGATTTTTCCAGGGGGCACGCGTAAAGTCAAACTGGGTTCCAATGATTTTACGCGGGTCCAACTCCTCCTGATTCAACCCTTTTTAGACCCTCCGTTTAAAAGAAAACAAGGGTTCTAAAAGGGTACGTTTAGGATACGGTCCTTTGCAGGAAAATATGCCACCCAGCCAGGGATTTTTTTTTAACTTTCATTGAAAATTTTCTGTAGGATTAGAAAAAATCTCAGACTTTTTCCCAACTTAGCCCATAGTAAAAAAGTAGGTTTTTTTATTCCCAGTGCCCAGTGGCACAAAATTTTGCAAAAATATCCCAACTTTGCTGCACAAGGGTCAAGTTAAAAGGCCCTTTAACAGGCAATTATCACTTCTCCTCTCAAAGAGGTATGAAAGCTTTTCTAACCAGGTGCTCAGACTCAATCAGGATTGGCCAATTTTGGGAAAATCCAGGAAGTGTTGGCCTTGGGTGAGGCTCAGTAAGTCTTGCCTAAACAGGATTTTGGTGAGGTTCACTGGCCTCAAGATGCCACAAGTTTTCTTGGCCAGTTGTGGCTGGAAGCAGCAGCTGCACCACTTTGGGACATGACACACATGGTGTAGTCCTCCTGTACTTTCCTATCCTAATTCCCGAGTCTTTTCAAGATAGAATCATCAATACCCCCTATTAATTGGGTGCTATGGCGTATCCCATTCCGGTTCATCGCGGGGATTTCTGTGGAAATTTGTAATCCCGTCGCACGGAAGCAAAGAACCCCTAAAGAAAACATGGGTTTTCGGGCTCGTCAACTTGTTTCCCTTGCCCAGGGGAAACCGACTTGTTTTCAGAACCCTTCCACAGGAAAGGCGAGACATGCTTTTCATTCCGGATTCAGACAGCAAAAGAGTCCTCGGCTCAAAGTTTGCAGTTGGTCGCGATGGCAGCGGAAAACGGATCGATGGCAACCTTGCCTGCACAAAAAATGGCGCCAGTTCCGAGTAAAAAAGGGAACAAGGTCAAACTACCCCCGGGGTGCGTGAAAAATTGACGAGAATCGACCTGTTTCTCCTCCTGTCCGTGTCCTGATCAATCCCGATGCGTCTTTCATGAGCCGAGGATTCTTCCAGGGGGGATCCGAGGATCCCTGCCACCACAACCCCGGTGTCCTCTGCCCTTCCAACACCCCGGACGTGATTTTTCGGCTTCCGTTTCCGAAAGTGTTTTTCCTGTTTACTGAATCTATAGAAAGCCGACAAGTCCCAAGCCCTCAATGTTTATTCTCCAACATTTTAAAAATAAAAACAACTTGGGTTTGATTTAGAGAACGTGTTTGGAAATTTGGTAAAATCGTTTATTTCTAGGAAGGAATACGAAATTCGCGTGAATGCAGCAGCTGAAAATAACTCTTTATTTGCATTCTGTCGAAACGCAATTATTGCGCTGTGGACATGACGAACAATCCCCCAGCACTCCCTGTATTGATCAGACCTGTGGCTTTCTTTGTTATTGCTGATCATTTGTCTATACGCGTATTATACTATAAAACTGTCCGTCAGACCCTTTTTCCACCAGATAATTGCAATGGAGCATTCTGCCTAACAATATGTTTGTTGAAGTGCGGTATTTGATGCATATTCTACGCAATTTTTATTTTAGCTTAATTTTTATCGAGAAAAATGAATCTTGACTGGAGTGTTTTTTTTAAGGGCAAATAAGGCAACTTCGTCAACTGACGGGTCGAGTGGAATTTTAAAATTGCAAATAATTATGCCTCGACTTTTTCGAATACTGTAATTGTGCTTCAACTTTTTCTGGCTGGTATAATTTTGGGGGAACCTGGTGCAAGAAAAATACTCAACACACGTAGCCTATAGCTAAAGGGGTTTCACTTGCTGGTTTTCTGGTGGGGAGATCATGTTTAACAAAATTCTGATGAGGAAGATCATGCGAAAAATAAAATCATACCGAGTAATTTATTTTCCCAGTAATAAAATCTTTGGTATAAAGTTGGGCCTGCGGCTCAAGAGTAAAAACATTGGTATTTTAAAGGCAACTTGGTATTTTAAACATTGGAATAAATCCCCAATTACTGCTGTATTCCTAGAACGGAATCAGGTTTGGACTTGGGGAATCCTCGTATTTTCTATTTGCCAAGGTTAATATGGAACTATTTTTAATCTCTGGCATCTTGAAACTTATTTTTGAGCTATTTCACTAGATCGGTTCCATGGAAAGCGCATCATGTCATCTGAATTGATGCAGTTGATCAAAGCTAGGTTTGGCTATGATTCTTTTTGCAGTGAATCAATGGATCAGCGTACAGTGAGACCCCAAGATGCGGACGTAATTGGTGCATAAAGTGTACCTAAGTTGAGTCTCATTTTCCCTTAGACTTACATTATACAATTTTCAATTGGTGTTTTATGTACAAAATACTTACCATAATTCCATGAAAATAAAAATTTTCTCCCAATTTTAACTGATTCCAATCAATTTATTTCAACACAATATGGGCATTTGGTGAATTGAATTCTGTTACCTCTGTAGAGTACATACAAATGTTGGCATTATCTGTGAAAAATAACATTCAAGTTAAAAAGAGAGAAGGAAGTCCCTCTCTGCTGGCAGTAATTTTCTAAAATTAGTTAAATGGATGGTAAATTGGTGAGAGAAATGCCCAAGAATTTTTCTTACATCAATTTTTGGGTTGGAAATATCTGTTTCTTGTGATTTGGCCTTAAATGTATTTGCAATTTTATAACAAAATGTCCCTATGTTGAATCAGTGTTCTCATGTCAGGCCTTTTTTATTAGTTTTTTACAATAAAATAAGTGTCCCTATGTCAAATTGTCTGCAGGTCGAGGTGTCTGCATGTGGGGTCTCACTGTAATTGCATCTTACAAGAAAATAAATAGATCACTCATATAAATTTTTCATCAGCCGGAACGATTCAGTTCGCGTTGGCGAATTGGGGAATTTTCTTTTTCAAAATACAAAATTGGTCTCTAACATTTTAAAAATATAACTTCAAATTTCCCGCTTCAGTTTAAATACTCTGTCTTTTCAAACTTACTCATAATCAGAAGATTCCGGGTATCAAAATACAATTGTAAAGATTTCACCTGCAAATTATGCGAATGGAGATGACCTTTCAATGAGTAGCATTCCAATCAACATAAAAAAAAGATCCATTCCTCGATGACATAACATTGATTATTTTCTAAAAGCTCGTGGGGATTGAATGTGCTCGAGATATTCCCGAAGGCCAAAAGTGCACGATCGCGAAATTGTTGACATTTCTTGTGCAAACGAATCTGAAGTTTCGTTAAAAAAAAAACAAGTCAAGTGAACCCCAATTCATTAAAGCTTTCACATTACCCCAGTGAAGTGAAATGACGGCAGGAAGTGCATTTGTCCGAAAAGCGAAATCCTTCGTCGCTCTTGACTTGTCAAGAAGTGATGAAGCTGCTCTGTGGCATAGAACGTGAGATACTCCTATTATTTCTTCGTCAAACTTCAAAAAATTTAATTTGTAAAGTCATGGAACCAAGAAACATATCGGGAAATGAGAATTTTGAAGGCGCGATACTGCTCACAATTTTCGTAGGCGAAGATATTCCAACACGTTTTTTGCATGTATACTAGTAGCATCTGCTGATCATTCAAACGAAGTTACTCATGTACTCTATACTACAGTTATGATAAAATCTCACATGGTATTCCTGAAGGAAATCATATGGAAAGTTGCCTTCATGAAAGAGACGATTAACACAATCCCCATCCACCAGGGGGTGAAATTCACAAGCGTGAAAAATTAACGGCACACTTCAATTTTTCGCTTTTCAACAAAAGCAGAGAACTCACCTTTGAAGTAAAGTCGTCGAATTCCAATGAAATATTTCAAACACAGACTTAAACACAGCAAATGAAAATTTTCAGGAAATAACGCAGGTTTCCAGCAGTAAATCCACCGATAGTTGTTCTTGATGTTGATGTTGAGAACATTGCTGAATTCATTGTACTGGTAAAGGAATTGTGAAGGAATTTGGACAAGTTATACTTAAAATGGTGTTCCAATATGCAGACGTCATAATTTCTCAAATTTGTTCTATTTGTCAAAAGGCCTGCTTGTTAGTTCACTTTTTCCCATAGATTTCAAAATGTGAGAATTTTTAATCACTTCTATTGTTCGACCACAATGGAAAGAAATACTCAAAAAGCCGCATTTTTTTTCTCACCTTGCAGCACATGAAAATCACTCTGCAGAAGAAAATCATGCAGAATCCACCCTTTTAGTCCGGGAAAGAGTCAGAAAGGCAGAAAACAATCTCACATAATACTACTGTATTACAGTTTACACACACATATGATAGAAAAATCTTTATACCAAGATAAGCACAAGGATGGCCTGTTTTGAAAAAGAAATTTAGGGACATTAATGATGATACTTGTTTTAACTTAAGTTCATTGCATGGCTAATTTTTTTTTTCAAGAGAGATTAACATTTTTGAAAAAAATATTTTTTACTTTAATGGAAATTTTGGCAATCTTTCTTGGTCTTGAGACATTGCCTAGATTTCACCCATTACTTTAATGCACTATTAACCCATGAAAATAACTGTTCTGTAACTGGTGACCCATGTTATGAGGGGCCTTTAGCCATGATGGTACCAGGTGAAAGTTTTCCATGGGGTCTTTACCCATGAAAAATGGAAAAATTATTTGCTGGGTTGAGGCACATTTTTTTATTTGACCATTGGATGACAATGGCTTCATCTCCATCCTGTGGCAAAGTCAGGATTTTTCCAAATGCAGGCGCATTTCAGTTTGATCAAAGGTCACCAAAATACTTCTGCTTTGCTAAAGCCCAAGTTGGGAAAAATCTGGGAAGAGCAAAGCCTTTTGTCTTCAGGAATATACAAAGTTTTCTATGTGAGGAATGCATGAAAAATGCCACCCAGTGAGGGTCATTTTTTATTTTTCAGCCAAAATGTTCTCCTGGAAGAGAAAAAAATTTACTTTTTCCCAACTTGGGCCTTGGCTTGAAAATTAGTGTTTCTTTTCAGTGCTCATGGGCACAACATTTCTCAAAATGTCCTAATTCATCTTCAGAAGGGTTAAATTCTCGAGAACTCAAATTTTTTGAATTTTCGAGTTTACAAAGCTAAACTACACTTTGATAATACGGTATGCATTCTTCCAACTTACTGTGGATCTTTTAAAATTTTTATACCCATTGCATGTATGCTAGTATAATGTATTGTAATCAGGACAGTGATGGTGGAACTGTTTTTCTTTCCTTAATCCCTGGGCTTGTAGATAGTGAACTCCTTTTTAAATGGCCGTGGAAAATCCTAAAGCTGTCAGGATGAAACGAAATCCCAGTAACTGTTTCAATAGATCTCGGTAGCATGACTTGCAGAAATAAAATGGCATAATTTTGATTGTCATTTACGTCCTGATCGAAGATCGTACTATCGTGATCCCAGCAGTCCTTCGCCTAATCTGTCCCATCGAATTTCATAATGTGTCTCTTGAGTTTTGTTTTATCATTACCCACACACTCATTTAATCTTCCCCATGTCACGACGTGAGTAACACGTGCTTTCATTCAAAAAGTCACGTAGCGCTCAAAGCTGAACATAAATTGCTTTGGTGTGAATCATCCATAAATTGGATACAAAGATTCAGTCGAGAGGGATTTGTAAAAGTCACTATTTTAGAGTTAGGAAAGGAGAAATAATAAGCATTTGCATCCCCCGAAACATGTAATTAATTGCGCCACTCGTTTGATCTTCAGCAATCCCTATAGCACTTATAAAGAGGGTATATTGAGGTTAATTTTTAATATATTTCATTCCAACTCCCTTTTACTTTGAGTTTAATCCCTGTAAAACTGAAAACCTGTGAGAACTACATGGTAAAAACAGACGTTCTTGAGGTCTCACTGTATATTTGGTGAGTGAATATTCAACAATCAATTTTATCAGATGGCTCCAGATCTCCAATTCTATAATTCAGATCAATTTGGGAAAGATTGAATAACCTTAAATGGTCTCTGAAGATTTCTTCAGAAGACTGACATCTGACTTTTAAATGAAAACTGTTTGAAATCTAAAAATTCCAACAAAAATCATAAAACGATCATCAAATCAGAAGAATACAATTACATTTAATTTACTTACATTTTATAAATGATCGTTAATTTGATTAAAGGATACTATATATACGCACAAAAACTTTCTGAAATTTGCAGAAAAAGTTTGCGCTTGCATATGACACTCACCTACTTTTTGGTTCAATTTTTTGTATCGATACAACTAGTCATACTTGATTCACAGCATTTGTTTTATATCGTGAATATTTCTCCCATATAACTCCAATTAAAAATTATATAAAGTAAGGTTGAGGGAAAATGAAACTCAAATTAGGGACATTTTGACTTTTGGACACTCTTGATGTACCATTTTTGTCTGCAACTTGAGGTCTCACTGTATATTTGGTGATGTGAATATTCAACAATCAATTTTATCAGATGGCTCCAGATCTCCAATTCTATAATTCAGATCAATTTGGAAAAGATTGAATAACCTTAAATGGTCTCTGAAGATTTCTTCAGAAGACTGACATCTGACTTTTAAATGAAAACTGTTTGAAATCTAAAAATTCCAACAAAAATCATAAAAAGATCATCAAATCAGAAGAATACAATTACATTTAATTTACTTACATTTTATAAATGATCGTTAATTTGATTAAAGGATACTATATACGCACAAAAACTTTCTGAAATTTGCAGAAAAAGTTTGCGCTTGCATATGACACTCACCTACTTTTTGGTTCAATTTTTTGTATCGATACAACTAGTCATACTTGATTCACAGCATTTGTTTACGTATGAATAGTTTCAGTACGTACATGCACACCAGATAAAAAGTTGAATCTGCCACAACAAAGTGTGCCTGCCAAAATCCATCCCAAGAAGACTCCTCAAAACAGCCTACAATTTTTGAATGAATTTCAAAGCCTTTCTGAAATCTACAGAAAATGAAACCTTCTTGGAAGTTCCCAAGGATCTGAGGAACAATTTTTTTTCTGTAAAAACGTTGTTATAAGAAGATTTATGGATTTTTGAGCATATATGACGGTGATTTTGTGGAAAAAAAGGTTATGCTCGAAATTCATTCAATGTATTTCCGCAACCGATTTGTGAAGAATTGCCCACATTTTCAAATTATTTTGATGAAATAATCAAGAAAATTCAAAACAGATAGGGAATACAATTATATCACTGCTGTAGACCTCACCTTTGTTAAATTTTCTAAAATTATACTGATCTTATAGAAGTTACAAGGTGGAACAAACATAAAATCCATTTCAAAGAAGAATTTTTATTCATTAAGAGCTGTATCCTCCCTGAAATAGAGCAGTATCCTTCCAAACATTCTTTTCTTTAAAAAATTCAGCCATTTCTAAATTTTAAAATAAATGTAAATTCATTTTTAGTACAGCTTTGTAGTTTTTCTAGGGTTAAATTTTCTGTACAAAATCATCAGAAGTTGAATGTTTGAAGGTTTTACATAATGTGCCAATCATTTAAATTTTCTATTGCCGAAGCACACATAACCATAATAAGGCAATAATTTGTTATCGTGATATTATAGAGGAAAATTAACTTGTTCTAAAAAATTTTTTATAACATTATATCCATATTATGAAGAAACTACTGCCGGACCCACAAAAAAATGGCGTTGCAACGAGATTCGTCACAACGGAATTTTAGTATTTCTTCCATTGGATTGATTATTTTATTTTTTTGAAGGTTGGATTCGACGGGATCCCCAGACACGTTGTCAAACTATGACGAAAGCGACGACGGAGGAGCCGACAATGTGAACGTCGTCGTGAGGTGAGACACAAAAGATCCTCCCGCGTGGTCGATCCTCAAAAACGGTTTTGTCTTGATCAGGGTCCGCCCCATGAACCAAAGGGAACTGGCCAACAGTGAGGAGACCTGTGTGCAGTTCCCTGGCGAAGGGCAGCTTTGGGTGAGTCTTTGACCCCTGATGGTGCAGTTGCTGGCTCAAATGCGGGACCTGCTGCATGGCCATCAGAGTACCAATAACTATACAGTACATGTAGCATAGCTCAGTGGTCTGCAACCTGCTGTGGCCCGGACTGGCACCAGACCGGCCGCAGAAGTCCTTGTTTGGATCTGCAGGAAATGTTCTTCAGTATATACTTGTACTCTAATACTATCAACAGTTGCAATGAAGCATGAACACTGTTCTAGGGGTTCTATACTATGAAATTCTCTTTACAACAATTTTTCTGTTTCTTTGAGTTTCCTTTCATGAGGATAGTCCAGTTGCATTCATTTTGTCTGGGAATAAACGGTGGCTCACACATTCCCAGACATTTTCTCTGCGAAAAGAAAAACAAATAAATTTTCATTCGATTTTGAAACCGGAAAATTTAGGAATATTCATCACTACTGCTGCACGTAAAAACTCAAATCCTGAATTTTGTTTGAAATTTCGTCTAGAGGGTGTACATGTTCCATTCTTGATTCTGTATTATTTGATGAATCTGCAGTATTTCCAGAAAATGTGTACAGTATACAGAACGCACTTTATTGCCACATGTGCACCCATCTTTTCTGCCTTGATTTTCATGAAGATGAAATGTTTTGATGGTAAAATGTAGTACAGTAGAATCTCATTACAACAAACTCCCAGGGACCAGAAAAAATTTTTTATAACAAAAATGTTGTTATACGGTATTGAGATTTATGTACTTATTTGCAGAAACAACACTTTAACATGCGAACAAGCATTTTACTGCTTTAAATAGTTAGTGATTTTACTCTGGGAAATTTGTGCAGAGTATCATTGCCACAGAATTCACTAAGACATCTCCCAAATGCTTTTGGAACTTGAAAATATGATCCTTTCACTGAAATAATTGAAAATTTTCAACAAATTCAACATTTTAAAATAAAACTCCATACAAAAGATCATTAGAATGAAATTCATAGATTTTGGTGGCTCTTGGAGGCTCAGCTCCAAGTTCGCACTATTCTTCCAGACTCCTTAGACAATAGATAAATTAATCAGGGTACATTTATTTCATGAGCTTCCTGCTGTACATTAATGTAACCCATTTTTAGCTTACTGTTTTCATAACTCTGTGGGAAAGACATATCTTGTCCACTATATACTGATGAGCCCCAAGGAACAGGGCATTGTACAAACATTCATGCAGGAAAGAAAATTTCAAAAATCAGAGCCAAAATCAGAAAAACATATGGGAAATTTTTAAAAAATTGGGGACAACAATTTGTTGTAACCAGAGACGAGCTGGTACAAAATTAATTTGTTAAAACGAGATTAATTTAAACTACATTTTGAGGGTAACTGCCAGGACTTAAAAAAAATCCGGCGTAGGCAAAAATTCGTTAATAAATTTGTTGCAATGAGATTCTACTGTAATATAGACAATGCTGGGATTTCTCAGTTTTTCCGCGAAGGATTTCATACTGATGTCAATAATCCACTCCAGATGGACGGTTACGGAAAGGACCCAAGGCCGAAACCTTTCACATTCAATGTGGTGTTCGAACCGGATGCAACCCAAGAGGACCTCATTGAGCACTCCGGAATCACGAGACTAATTGAAATGGCTTTAGATGGATATTCTTGCACCGTTTTCTGCTACGGACAAACCGGAAGTGGGAAAACTCATACCCTGACTGGGTCACCTGGTCTGGTACGGTCGTCTCACAGTCTCAGTCCACACATCGACTTTCAAAACTCAACAAGTCGCCTTGATTTTTCACAGTTTATCTTCTTTCTGAAGATGAGCCTCCTAGTGCCTGAGTACATGTCTTCGAAACACATGGAAAAGTTTACGAACCTGGTCTGCTTCCTCCTTCCTCAGTGAATGTCGCAGTCCCGTAGCATAGACCTTTAATACAATGAACAAGTATTGTCTCTTTCTCTCGAGCTTGCTAGATTTAATTCAGGCCAGGTGTGTAAAGGAATAACTTACCTCAGCATAAATTTGAAATATTTGCTAGTTGAAAATGGAGAACTGTTGTCTTGCAGTCCTCAATCTTCACTTTGTTCGAAAACTTGTGGAGTTGTGTATTAGGAAGTGAATGACTCCAGCAGGAAACCAGGAAAACAGTAGATGATTTATCTTTCTAGAAGAAAGACTTCTACTCGGAGGATCACGGACTCATGTACAGAAGCTTTGTGTACCTTTTCAAATGCTTGGACCAGACGAAGGAGGAAGGAGTCACTTACAGCGTCAGGGCATCGTATCTGGAAATTTACAATGAACAAGTATTGTCTCTTTCTCTCGAGCTTGCTAGATTTAATTCAGGCCAGGTGTGTTAAGGAATAACTTACCTCAGCATAAATTTGAAATATTTGCTAGTGGATCAGAAATGAATAAAGTAAAGTTTTGAAAAGATTTGAATTTGGAAACAAAAAGCAGAATCAGCCTGGGATGAGGCCGGGAATCCTTTTTGGATTTCCTAGTTTAAATTGAATGAATATAATTCAAAATTTGTCCCACAAAGATTTGACGCACAAGATGGCATTTTTGATAACACAACAACTCAACAGAACTCTTCCACAATCACAATTTTGTAAATTTTGCAGTTGTTCGCAAGCCAAAAGTTTGATTGCAAATGTGGTTTCGAATTTTGTTCTTTGGTGGAATTTGGGAGGAAACCGGAAATTTGTTTCTGGTTTTAATTGTTCTTCTATTGTGGTTATCCTTGGTGAGTTCCTTCCCATTGAGGATTGGAACTCTTATCTGATTTCGCGGTTTTTGTGTTTTATTAATTTTACTTTTAACGTAATTCAGCGTGCGCAGTTTCCCAACAAGGTGGATGAACGCAAATAATGCGTTTTTCTTATTTTCAGGTGAAAGACCTACTAAACCCGAATCCGTCACAACGTTCTTTGGCAGTGCGGTGGTCAAAAAGGCAGAAGCGGGGATTTTACGTGGAAAACCTGTTCACAGTGGAGTGTGCCGAATTGGATGACCTGATTGCAGTTCTCGAAGAAGGTAAAGGGATCCTTTCGTTTCCACCATTCTTTGGGAAAATCTTCCATTTCCGGCAGGAAATCGAAGATTTTCCCATTTCCTGCAGTGTATAAGTCACCCTACATGCAGGGTGACTTACACTGTATGCTCTTATATAAGCAAAAAGCATAGATGACCAGCACAGAAGTTTTGTCATTGTGCTAATAATGCAGTGGTATTTTCAAGAGTCATCGTAAAAAAATATTGTATCAATAATAATACTCCCATGGACCTGATGGAAATTCGTTGTGTCAAAAATGCGTTATTTTGAGACTCATCGTTGTAAAAATAGTTAAGAGTTAAATGTTGTGTGAAATATGTAATAAACTATTTAAAGTGCTTCTGCAACACATATATTCGACAGGAATTGTTATTTCCGAAACTCTTTCATGATATTCAAATAGACTCCTCTTATTTAAAACCTGCTTTTTGCTTCAGATTTCCCAGTAATGTGCTGCGGATCTTGAAAAATAAAATTCTTCAAAAATCATGTACAGTATTGGTACCTCGGCCCAAAGGCAATCATTTAAGGTTTTAAGCTCATCCCAGTGTTTTTTGAGGAAGAAGTTTGACATCAGCTATGAAAACAAGATGTATTCCTCATGACATACACCCAGCAAATAATGGGGGCATTGGGCTGTGCAACATTGAGGAAATGGCCTGCCAATGGGTTCTGCAATGCAATCTATCAATGGTTGGGATTTTGAGCCAACACCCCTGATGAGACTAATTGTTTGGAAAAAAAGAACCATGGCAAAATTTTCTAAGGAGCCTAATAAATTTGAAAAAACAACATACTGCTTATTTTTGTAATGCATGCACTATATTTTATTTTCAAAAAGCTTGGATTTTTTGTGAAATTTTGAGAATGCAGAAGTTAGATTTTCCCAATTTTTGGCATGATGGAAAAATCTTTATGTGGCCTATTTATATAGAAACAAGGCAAAACACTCAATATACTGAGATTTCAGCTAAAAATTCGTCTCTTAAACTGAGTTATCCATTCAATATTCCTCCTATGAATGAAACTGCTGGGACCAAGAAAATAATTTGTATAATGAAAAATCCCTCTAATGAGATTTGTTGTAACAGAATTTTATTGTACGTCCTTGATGTTATAGAAGAAGACTTCACTTCATCAATATCTTTCATAATTTAAGATCACTGGCATTACCAGGTTATATATATATACTGTTTTTTTTATTCCCATGTTCAAAAAGAACATGTGCAGCTGTCAAATAAGAAGCCGTTGAAACATTTTCTTGTCATTTGGGGAGCATTCAAATCAATAGACAGCACTGCATGATCAACCACTAATAAGTATGATCAAGCAGTTCTTTGAGATAGATTCGAAATTTCCATCAGACAATTGAAAACAGTTTTGGCCAAAAGCATATTGGATTGCATCATTCTCATATTTGTAATGACAACTTCTGAAAATACTCAAGTCTTTGCATCAGGAAGAGCTAAAATAGTGTGCTGAAGTCCCAGGTAAAAATAGCTAGACTGATGAGCAACTGTTTGCGCAGGCATAGCAAACAGACACATCAGTGGACATGCCATGAATGAGTACTCCAGCAGGAGCCACGCGATGTTGACTGTGCATGTCACCAGAGAAGAAAAGGTGTGTACTCCAAATCCTGCTGCCTGTATGCATACCAAGTGGTCTAACAAATATTTTCAGAATACAGGCAGTAACCCCACAATTTGACCTTAATCCATGGTTGGGCTAGGGTTGCAAAGTTAAGCAGTCAAATTGAGAGGCAATGTCAAATGCAATGTTTTCTACATTGAATTTGAAATTTTGCATCTCTCTGCAGGTTGTATTGTGGGACAGAGGTTAAATTGCAAGTTAGCATACCAGTATATTTGACTGTCAAATTGCAAGGTGCTGCTGGTATCAATTTAAATGGCATACAATTGCACTGAAAAATATTATTGTTCAGGAAAAACATTTTTTGGGACAAAAGGAAAAATTCAGCCCTGTTTGATGTATTTTTCAATTTTTTGCAAAAGTAAAACTGCTGGCATCTTTCTGCTCTTCACTCAGAGGATGAGGCAGCTTTTTGGGGGTAGCCCAGCTTCTGCTTCAGAATTCTTGAAATTGACATGGCATTAATTCCAAGGGTTGCCTCCAGGTCTTCCAAGGTAATTCCGCCATTTTCATTAACAGCTGCTTCACAGCCACCACACTGGTATTACAAGTGGGGGCTGCATGTGAATGCAGTTGTTGATGAAAATGGCGGAATCAATAATTGGCAGAAATCCCTGGCATGTATGCCATGTACATTTTAAGAATTTTGAAGAAGCTGGGCAGCGCAAAAAAAAATCTGCGAGACAGGTGCCACATCTTTTGCATGGATAGCATAAAGCTGCTGGGGACACTTTTGCAAAAAATGTCTGCAACATATGTCAAACAGGACCACTTTTCTATTATGCCAAATAATTTTTTTCACAGAAATCTTGTTTTTCAGCTCAATCCTATGCCATTTAAATTTTTTTCTGAGAACTTTTGTTAGACCCTTTGTACGCATCTTTCTTATGTTACAAATAACCTCTCAGGAGAATGACGAAGGAGTGTACATCTCCAAACACGGCAAGATCAATTTTGTGGACTTGGCCGGCAGCGAGAAGACCAAAGAGACCCACTGCGTCGGTCAGAAATTGGTAGAGGCCAACAACATCAACAAAAGCCTGCTTGTCCTAGGTCAGTTATTCAACCGTTCTTCATTACTGCATAAATGTTCCACGCTTATAATGTATATTTATGTACATATAGGTACTTGCATTTCTGCGCTGAGTGATCCCAAGAAAAGGGATGGACACATTCCCTTCAGAGACAGCAAGCTTACCAAGTTACTTGCTGATTCCCTAGGGGGCAATGGAGTTACTTTGATGGCAAGTACTAAATTAATAAGTCTTCTAAGTTATTCCAGGTTTAGGTGCCACCTGATGCATGTATTTCCATGTATATTCATGTCCCAATCTGCTGGCAATTCAACATTTTTGGTACCAGCAGTCAGGGTAGGATTGACTGTATTTAGGATATGTAGTTTTTCCAAAGGTCAGATATTAATCATAGCTGTGATGAGGTTTATGCTACTTGTACAATCTAACCTGACCTAATATGTGTGTGAGCTTGGTCAAATTTCCACTGCTGCATGGTGGAGCACCAAGCAATATACTGTTGACAGTCTATACTGTAATGTACACACATATGTGACATATATATATATATATATATGTACATATATGGCTTTAATTTAGTGCCACCATGAATTCATGACAATTTCTTGGTACCAAGCAAAGATTGCACTGAAGTGATGGTATTTTGCAAGATTAATTTCATTTACTTGAATACCATCCAGCCTCATTGTGAGGCATTCACCTTAATTATTAGGAAAACAAGTTTTTATGAAAATCAATTCAGGTTTCTTGAAACAAAAAAAAATTCTTTTTCAGAAATAAATGCCAGCATTTGAAAGTTGGACAAGTGTAATTTGAATTCAGGAGTACTGCATTTTTTCTGATGCACTGTTCAATCTGCTAATTTTGTTTCAGCACAATTACAGTACAATATGCAGCTTTACTCATTCTAGTCTCTGGAAGTGTAAAATTTCAAGTTCTCTGAATGTTTTGAATTATAACGCGGCGGAGCAAAAATCTACAAAATTTGAGCAATAAAATGCATACTCAAGTAAGATGCGCGCCAATCTTTTGAGGAATAAGGTGTGGGTGTTCCTCAAACAATAACGGTATTCGGGAAAGACTAATGAGCTATGCGTGACAAACATACGGTGGCCCGCTGCCTAACAGACCTCCCGTGTAAGGGATTTTCGCCAAACACACCTGCTCTGCAAGCAGTTTTTCCTCCCGCCCAACAGACAAAATCCGCCAAACAGACTTCTTTTGGTTTAAAATTAGTGTTGAAAATTGAAATTTTTAATTTTTTATGTAATTGAATTCGTGTAAAGGACTTTTTGTCTAACAGACTTGTCCCTTGCACTAATCAAGTCCGTTAGACGGGGGTTGACTGTACATGGTTGCACTAAAGGATTATTAACATCTGTACTGTACAGTATTTATATTTATTTTTGTGCAATATGTCTCCATATTAGGGCACCCGCCATACTATTTTCAGGGGGAAAATTTGAAAACCCTTGTACTGTACTTACTGTATTAGTGAAATTCTACAACTTGGATGAATGTTAAATGTAACAGTTTTTTCTTGTAGAATTTCATTCCCAATACATATATACATAACGCAGAAGCAATTACTGCATTTAAACCAGGATATTCGCATTTCCAACAAGGAATGCAGTACTTTTCACTCAGCTGCTGTTTGCTGATCACTAATGAAACTCTGGCTGAATTCTGCAGATTGCTTGCATTTCTCCTGCGAAATCGAACTTAGCAGAATCCTTGTTGACGCTTAGATACGCTGCCAGTGCCAAGAAAATTAAAACGAAGCCGATTGTGATCATGGTAAGCGCGTCATAATTATTCATGAATCACCACATTATTATGAGTTTTAATGTGTCATTTAGGACCCCAGAGACAAACTCATCTTGGTCCTGAAACGTGAGGTGACCAGTTTGCAGAAAGAAAACAACTACTTGAAAAGCCAACTCGGTCTATCTGACACTGACAAGGTGGAAATAGACAAGGAGTGGCTGGAAAGTAATAAGCAGGAGGGAGAAGCAGATAAATCTACAAAAGGTTTGTGTGCAAATTTTTTTGTCGGTGCTGTAAATGTCTCTCTATGCTGATCAGAGCAAAGTATAAAAGCAGAAGGGATTGTGTCATAACTGTAGCACCCCAAAACTTATTTGATTTTGAAGCCATTTGAGCTAACTTAAGTCTTAATCACTAATATACAGCAGCTAAGATAGAAGGTGGTTTCCACACTGCATACTTGTACAGTGAAGGAGAGCCTCAAAAATGTTCAGTTAAAACCATATGTGAAGGGTTATTCATTTCTTCTTCATGTATAGATATCATAGTTTGAGATTCAGAACCATCTTATCTGATCTAATTTATCCAGAAGATACTCTTTGTACCTATTGCACCCACTTTATTACAACACACTAGGGGAGGGTGCCCAGCCGCACCTGGACAAGTGACACCACAGGAAAAGATTTTGTCAACTTTTTGGGAGGAAACTTTTTTCCAATTTTAAAATTTTTAAACTTTAAAGTAAATATCCCTGCCAACCCTGGCATCATCAGCAAGATTTTTAAATATACTACTACCAAAACTGTATATGCAAGCAGGGTGCCCAGCCACACCTGGGCAGTGGAGAAATTTAAGATTTGAAATTTGAACACATATTTCATGCGCCAATCATAACAAAGTACAGTATATCAAAGCCATGAAACGTTCCCCTGAAGAGTCATCATTCACATATGATAAAATTTTGTAAAATGTTAATGGATCTCCCTGAAAGCCTCATTAATCTCTTCATAGAGTTGAGTCAGTAATAATGTCCTACCACATGGTGGTATGTCTTTTTCTGTAATTAAAGCAGATGTATAAATATAATTTCCTCAAATTTTTGTCAAAAAATTTCAAGGTTCTCATAATTTTTATGCAAAGATATTCTGACCCATCCATGCTCTTCATTTTTTCAAAAAGAAAGAGAGTAGGAACAGAAAAAAGATGTTCAAATTACTGGATCTTCTGATTCAGTGCTGCCCAACTTATGGGCCATGGGCCAGATCCGGCCCGCAGAGACTCTTCATCTGCCCCATGGTCCCTTTCCTGTAATTTTTAAAGTGGCAGCTACCAATATTCAAAATATACATTGAAAGATAAATTTTAAAATTGAAAATCTTGCTCCACCTTTCAAAAATTCTGTAAGGCTATGCTTGTGATTTAATATACATAACATTGAATCAAATTTTAAGCGTTTCATATGGAAACGGGGGAATTTGGGAGCATAAAAAAGTATTGCCTAGTAATTGTGGCCCTCAAGGACTCTACCTCTCCAATGAGGCCCGTGGCCAAAAACAGTGTACAGTACTAATGTGGCCCTTGGCTATGGAGTATCTGAGTTGGGAAGTATATCAGCAGTTCTGATTGATTCCCTTACAATCCAAGGCGTGTCCTGTAATTTATATGTAGCATATTATACGCTTGTTCAAGAATAACTTACTTTAACATAAATGTGAATAAAGTTACTTGTGGATCAGAAATTGATGGATAAAGTGAAGTTTGAAATTTTGAAATTAAAAACAGAATCAGCCTGGGACTAGGCCGGGAATCCTGGTGAATTTCCTATTTAAAATTGTTTCTAATGTATTTCGAATTTCTACCAACTTTCAACACACACAAGACAATTTCCTACAAACACAACAACTCAACAGAAATCTTCCACCAATTTGTAAAGATTCCGCCTTATGTGAACACACCAAAAGCTTGATCAGGAATGTGGTTTTTGTTCTTTGGTGGACAAATTTCTTGTGGAAATCAGGTCTCGTTATTTTCATTGTTCTTTGGAGTTACATGGCTATCCTTGAGAAGTGGTTTTACTTCCCTTTGGGGGCTTGTTGTTTGTTATCAGATGCTAGGTTTAAATCTATTTTTTTTAATCTAATTTTACCATTATTTGGTGCGTGCCTGCGGTTTCCCAACAAAGCTGATGAATGTTAAAATTATTCTCACCTTCAGGTGGGGAACGTCCGATCAACAACAAACGGAGGAAATCTTTGCTGACTGCGGAGAGTTTGTCTAAAATGCCATTACCCGAAGTAGCGACGATGGTCTCTGGTCTGATTGAGGAAAACGATACCCTGAGGTCGGAGAATCTGGAATTGTATTCCATGAGAGACCAGCTCATCAGAGACCACGAAATGGTTTGCAAGGAAAACGAGCTGCTTCTGAGGAAATACGAAGCAGCTGAACAAGCCATAGCGTGAGTCACTTGAATAGTCGAATGAAAGATATTGGTTCCATATATCCATGAAGTTTTTAGGACTCATCAATTACAGCAACTTAATTGTGGCACCTACGCATCTTTCACTTGTGCCTGAACGAATTAAGAAAACACTCTTTAAAGTGAGATCCTGCTCAAAAAATGCATCACCTTAACGTCAGCAAAATCATTGCATGAATTTATTTGTGGTCGTATGTACATTAAAAACTGTACAGTACAGTCAAACCTTTCAAGTCAAACTCCAATTGAGGGAATCCAAGCAGAAAAATTAACCTTTCGAGGTTTTTTTTACTGTGAGGGAAACCTGAATGTTCGCTTGAAAAAATAATGACAAGATGTTGTAATTGGTGATTTTCTGGGTAAAAAAAAAACTGCTCTACAATCCAGCTGAGTCTGGGGTCCATTTGCCCTCTTTTAGACACTCATTTCTTTTTTTTAAGAAACATCAAGTTGCCATATATCTTCTTACTGCTCTTCTCTTCCCTGGGTCCCCAAAACAATAGCCCAAAGACTTCAAGAAAATGTCTTTGAAGAGGTTTAAGGGGAATGTGTTTGAGTTAGGGAAGTCTACGTAACACACTTTTCTCAAGAGGACTCAGACAGCAGGGAATAAATCCAGTAGTGCGAGGTTTTTAACTTTGAAAGGTTTTTATAGCTTAAGATTCAACTGTATATGCAGTAAAATCTTGCTATCGACAAAGCAATGGGAACAGTTGAATAACTTTGTAGTGTGAGTAATGTATTATAAAGGAGCTATAATTATTGTACAATATGGCTATTGGGCACAGACCTGAGAATGAATTTATTTGCCTTGAGCAATTTTTTGTTATAACAAGATTCATTGTGATATGATTCTACAACAGTACTGTCTTTACAAATTCATTGTATAAACTGTATATAGTTGAAAATCTCAATGTTAGATTCAAAAGGCTAGTAAGGATAATCTTTTATATTTTAGAATATAAATGACCTAATGTGTGTATTTTAGTTCAGGAAAATTATTTCTGGTCCAATTAATAAAATTGTTCATTGTTCATATAGATGTCCTATATACTGTACTTGCAGAAAGTGGCTTGATCCCCCATGAAACCCCATCAACCTTTTTTCCAACCCTTGCATTTTAAATTTAGCCCAAGTTTAATAACACAATGCCCTGAACAAATTTGACTCATTGAAGGCTAGTGCCAATCAGTTTTGATTGACCCAGGAACGTTGAAGATGCATAATCTCAATGGAATTGGCCAAGGATTCAACAAAATGCTAAAAGAAATGAGGTTTTTGACTTAAAGTAGCTTTATCTACAAATAAGGTGCGATTGTGATTTATGTGTGTAAGTTTGGTTTGAGTGTTCTTTCAAATGGAATATTGATAATGGGTTTGCAGATTTGTGGATGATTAGCAAATGGTACTCATATATCCACCACCTGAACAGTATGAATTAAATTCGATGACCTCATCATAATCAACCACACGGATCACAAAAAAAGAAAAGAACTGAACACATTTTTCTATTTAAAGGACGATTTTTAAACCGTTTACAAAAATGTTCATGGGACCCCAATATACAATATGTATTCACTTGGATGGCCCAGAAATTCCATCATATTCCATCCATCAACTTTCATTGTTAGACTTGCAGGAAACCTATTTATGTGACCAACATTTTCAAAATAAAATGGTTGACGCTCAGAAAATTCAAGAATAAGAGGTTTTGGCTGTGGTACTCGCGTTTTTAACTATGCAGAAAGAGTCGAATCTGCAACTCTTTCAGCCAAGTTCATGCTAGTTTTTTTTTTTTTAGTGCAACAGAAAGACCTCAATCGCAGCCAAAAATAAATGGACTCCTGAATGGAATGAGCTTGAGTCAAGAGAGCCTTGCTGATAGCTTCAGAGTTCCAGTGAGTATTGCATATTCGTATCAAGGGATCTTCGTGATGTATTTATTTATTCGTGATGCAATGTAAAATTCAAACTGTTCCGTACCAACAGCAACAAAGACCGAAAAAGAGCGGGGCTCGGTTTTCAAGATCCCGTCGAGGTTCGCCGAAAAATAAGACGTTGCCTGACAACGTCAGCAAGGAATTGGACAGACGTCGAATCGGCAAAAGGTGAATATTTTTCAATGACAAACTTTACAAAAATGTTGGCCTTGTATTATACTCCACTGATGAAACTATACCACAAGCACATTTTGTTTACGAAAAATCACCGCAGAAAAGCACTGTAAATGGCTGCTGATGGTTCGCATGAAAAGAAACACAGTACTGTAACCTAAAAACTAGTGGCGCTTGGATACTTTAAAAACAAACCTGCCATATGGCCAGAGTTTTTCTAATCATTACACACATGCGCGATATGGGCTGAAAACTTTTCAAGATATTTGACAAATTGAAATTATTTTTGTTTTTGATTGTAATTTTATTTTTTTACATCTTGTTAAAATGAGAAGAATGAATCCATAAGTTTTTCCTTACAACGGATGAGTATTGCAAAACTTTTTGTCGTTGCGATGAAATAATACGAAACTTTATTTAATTTTTAATTTCCCGATAGTCAAGGTCAGAGCAACCACACTATTATACTGTAATGAAATATCCGCGAATCCAGTTGGATTTTGAGCTGCAAATGGCCGCATGATTCGATTAGCTGACTTTATTCAGAAGATGGTGTATGAGCATATGTGACCCATCAGCGTATGACTTTCTACATTATATGTGGAAAATCCTCTATATACATAGGCATCACATATAACGTAAAATGGAACCATCGAACGGGTGATTCGTACTCGGATTTTTGTATTTTTGTAATTTGCTGTGAGCCCAGCTGCATTACTTGAATGAATACTGTACTGCATGATGTACCTCACTCATATAGAGGTCGCTGATGGAACATCTGCGGTCTAATGTGGCGCGCTGCTTATCGTACCCGGTTGTACGAACCCCTAAATTCTGCACAGCCTTCGCCTCGCTCTGGTCGTAATTGCTTTGTTGATGCTCTATAAATTTGCATTCAAATACTGTACGTAGCTGTGACATGTGGGCAATGAAAGCGTTCACATATCTTAACTCGAATGAGAGGAGGAATGAACACATGTCACCTTCATGAAATTATGCCGGCGGGATGCGTTTCGCCTATTCATGCTGCGGTGTGAAGTTTCATTTAAATGCAAAACATTGCGCGTAATTCGTTTTCTATATGCAATTACAACTGGCAGACACGTGACCTACTTTCCTGTCGGTATTTTCAAAACAATTTTCACGATTCATGCTGCAATACGACCTATTCATTTTTTTTCGATTTAGACTTTATTCGTCTTATATTTGAGACATCTATGTTTGAATACAGTAAATTCTTTATTTTACTGCTGCATAAATTACACTATATTGAAAGGAAATGGCTCATCTTCTTGCTGATATTCTCAAGCTTATGTTGCCATTTCTTATTTACAAGTTATTCGTGAAACTGCGATCAATCCATATTCCTGCAGGAAGATGGAGTTTCCCGTTAATTTTCACGCGGAAACATTAGAAAATATTGTTCAACTAAATAACAAATTCAAATGCTATAAATATATACAATTTGAAAGAGAAATTGCAAAAATGAATAGGAAATCTGAACACTGCTGGGGAATTCGGCCTCCGAAACCATAAAATGGGCTGACCGTTTCAGAACAGTGATGAACGGAAGAATTTTTCAACAGAGATCACTTCAACACAGGGTGGGTGAACCCTTGGATAGTGCAGATACATGTTCGGCTTCTCAGTAAATGCCTTGACCCTATAGTGAATTGCATCTCTAAAGAATGACTGCAGAACAGAACTTTTACACAGCCCACTTCTGTGGTGTGCACAGCATACAGGCCCGCTTTTACTGAAGCAAGGCCGGTATAGAAAATAATATTTGATGTAAGCAAGTAAATCGACCTTTGGTTGTCCACAGGCCACTGATAAGGTTGCTTTCAGTATTCATTCATCAATAGAGCCTTGAACAACGAACTGACCACCACAAAAAATTGAGGCAATTTAAAAAATCTTGTCACAATTGTTCATAAAATGCTAACTAAGGAAATCCAGTAATTGGTTCAATAATGGGTGCCAAAAAAAATAATGTAAATAAGTGAAAGAAATCAACGGACCGTAGTAGTACATGAAATCAAAAAGAAAGAGAATACTGTGCAAATAAAACAGCAGCCACCATCAAGTCGCTGTTGAAAAGGATGGACAGCAGAATAATTGGATGCAAAAGGGAAATAATATCCTCTTACGATTTCAATCCCCTTTTTGATTTCCATTATAGTGATTCCAAATTGAGAATGCACCAAATAAAAAAACCCAAGATGATTGTAACTTTGGACACTTTGCCATACAAAATTTTTCTCTTCTTGGCTTGAGGTTCATTTCTCATGTCAAGTTTGCAAAACAAAAGCCAATTGATGGTTTGTTACGTACAGTACTGTATCAAGTTTGTTGCATATCAGGAATATATATTTTTTGCTTGAGGCTCCTTACTTTACCAGTGTCACCATCAAATACATGCCTTTTGGAAGTGGTACTTTTTATTCCTTGGAAATTCAGACAAGAAGTTTGCACCAATGCATCAAGAGCTGAGGAAAGAAACCCTTTCTCGCCATCAATTCTTAAGGCATTCCTGTCCCAATTTTGAAGAAAGAGTTGCCATCAGAAGGTTTTTCTCATTTCTTTCTTGTTGGACAGTCTCAACTGGTGTGTATAGAAGGACCGGGCTCCATTAACCTCAGAAAGAAAAGTTTCATATTTCAAATAAAGACGAAGGGCGTTCATTAATACTAATTAGAGGATATTTGCGTACGGGTCACACTTTTTACCAGCTCCAAAATGACCAGTAACCGTATTGTTTCACACTGGTATATTCCAGCAATGAGGAGCCCGACCTGAAAGCCCGGAGAAGTGCCACCAAGAGAGACCAACTGGGCGCCACATCCCCGACATCAACCAAGTCAGCGGAGACCCCCGGAACCAGGGCACCCAGCAGACTCAGCCTGGAGCTCCCGGCAACAGTTATTGACCTTCCCAAAACCCCGCAAGCAGAAAAGCCCAAAAGGCTCAACTGGCTCCGTCGCAAGAAAAGCCCGAAATGACTCGTCCTGTCAGCATGTAAAACGCATTGGAAAAACCTGGTTTTACCAAATACGCATCAGTGTCTTAAACCCCACGAGGGAAACGCAATACAGCAACCATTTTCTCAATAACTCGTGGTCAGTTTTGAAATCAACATCCGTCGGCTAAAGGACCAGGTCGGTTCATTTCACAAGCAAAATCAAGCATACAAATGGCACATAATCAGAAGCCAAAATCAGTCAACTCCTTGAAAAATACAGGCAAAACACAAGTTCGAACTCAAATCACAGGGCCCAACTTTCAAAACCAAGAAAAGCCGAACTTCGTCCAGTTCACAAGCCTTGAAAATCAAGATAAAAACGCGCTGTCGCCTTTCTTTTTTCTTTTTGGTAGATGAATTCAAAAATCAAAGCCAATAGCATTCCTTTTGCAAGCTCTCTTGTTCTACTCATCCGTCCGAAGGTTGGAGCTTCATCACTTCAGTGGAAGATTTACACCTCTCCGGATTCACTTCTGACTGGCCTGAAACAAGAACAGAACCACCTAAATACAGATGGACTGCATTTCACCAACAATCTGGTGCTTTTAACACGTACCCTAACACGATTTCAAGCTTTTTCACTTTTTAATTCTGAAGACCAACCCGTCCTCCGAGAAATTACGAATAGAAAATCGTACTTACGAGGGGGTATAATACATGTGTTCAGAATAAAAATTAAAACGGCGTACAATTGAGATAAAAATCATAAAAAAAAATTCTTCGGAGCTTTATCATTTCGTTCATACGACATTTCAATTTCCCTCCTGAAAACTTTTGTTAGACCCCTCGAAAAATATGCGCGGCATCAATAACAATTTATCTCGAGGGAATAACCTATAGTATGAGACCGGGGTAGAACTTCTGTGAAAATTAAAGGCGGAACAAATTACTTCAGGGTTTAGGCAAGATTTAGAAAAATACATCAACACTTTGGTAATTTTGAAATTCGTGGATAGCGAATTTCGCTCTTTCAAATTCGGAAACAAGTTCTGTAGTTAATTCAAAAGAACTTTCCTCGGTTAAAACTCGGAAGGCCTTGGGAAAATGGACTTCTAATTTAGAATACATCGTGAAAGAAAATCAGGGTCTTTACTTGAGTTTTCTTTGAGTTTCCGCAATGCCATCTTAAAATGTTTTCAGACACACTCACTGGTTCTCAAAATGATAAAGAAGCGAGAAGTGGAAAAATACTGTATAAAACTGGACATCTTACCATAAATGAGAAGCCAGACGGTGACGAAGGAGACTTCGACGCGCAACCGAATGGCCTTCTCAAAGGACTCCCTTGCGGTGACACCCAGTGATCTCCGAAGAACTTCTTGAAGCTACATGCGAAGAAAACGAGCGAACAGAAACTTGAAACTTTTTCTGCGCAGCAATCAGAGGTTCGATTCAACGCGAGGAACGGGATCCGGATCTGCACGCGCGACAGCGATCCGAGCAAAACAAAAAGGTCAGAGGCGAGCAAATGGGAGATCAGTTACATGTCAGTGAAAAAGGCGAAGTTCTGCAAAAAAAAAAAAAAAAAAAAAAAGGGAGGGGGGGGGGGGGCCTTGAATCCGGAGAGGTGTAAATCTTCCACTGAAGTGATGAAGCTCCAACCTTCGGACGGATGAGTAGAACAAGAGAGCTTGCAAAAGGAATGCTATTGGCTTTGATTTTTGAATTCATCTACCAAAAAAAAAAAAAAAAAAAAGGAAGGAAGGAAGAGAGAAAGAAATCTGCCAGAGGCATTCAGAGCACTTACAAGCGCCTCATCCCGGATTCAGATCGTTTCCAGGGGGCGTCTTCAGGCTCTAATGGCATGGGGCCTTGCACAGGAGGATCCTCCTCTTCTTCTGCTACAGCTCTGAAAAACAAAAGGGGATCCTGTCAACGCGTCTCTTCTACACATGTCCTGTCGTCAACAACAATGCGAGCCTTCGCCGCGGAAAAACATCCCTCGAGGCAGATTGACATTTTATCCTTGACGCAGACGGTTCAGAATAACAAAACAAATTCGTTATAAGTGATCGCGAATAATATGTCAGCTACTGGAACGGGACATGAAAAAAACTAGTTTCAATCGATTACTCGCTTTAACGAGATTCTTACTGTATCGAATTCCGTAACAACGAATCTTGTTATAACGGATTATTCTCACAACGAATTTGTTTTTCGGTCCCTCTCCAATAGACACAATGTCATTTCAAGTTCTTCAAAACAGTTTTCGTTCACAACGAAGCTTTCTTAAAGGTCCCAAACCCTTCGTTGATTTGACCGAGTAGAATCTAGTTATAACGAGGAATCGATTACAACGAATTCGTTTTATAGGTCCCTTTCCAACAGCTGCATTTTATCATAATATTTGAGTCACCTCAAAACGAATTTACCGTTATAACGAAGTTATTTTACTAGTCCCAATGGCCTCGTTGTTACGAGATTTTACTCAGTAGAATCTCGTTATAACGAATAATCAATTAAAACGAATTCGTTTTTTCCTGTCCAGTTTCAATAGCTCAATAGCTGCATTATTATTTGACATAGCTCATAACGAATTTTTCGTTATAATGAAGCTATTTCACGACTTTATCGTGACGAGATTTTGCTGAATTAAAAAATACATAACAACTTCAGATTATCGTACAACTTGAAAGATGACAAGACTAAAATGATGGCACTTCCACATGAACTCGAGAAAAAAAAACTTGATCGTCATACAGTACTGTAATAGGTTTCGTACTTCATTGAAAAAAGTTTCAAATGACGTTGCATTAGTGCGATTTCAAATAAGTTCTTCGCAGTAATAATGCAGGAAATTTTTCCCAGAAAGGACAGACGATTTGGTAACGCGGGGAATATAACTTCCAGGTCAAATTTGTGGTCAATCTACAATATTTACCTTGAAAGCTACATTTTGACAACCTAAAACAAGACAAGATAACGCACCATCCAAAAAAGTATCCCGACCAAAATACTGCTATCTACATTTTATTCACTACGGAAAAACAAGAGTGTAGCAGACTTGTAACTAACTTCGTAAATGGTAAAAAAAACCGAAAATCGTGAAGAATGGAAAATACATTCTTTCTAAATCACCAACCCAACCGAAATCAATCAAAAATGCCTTTATTTATTTATTTTTTTGGATCTCAGAATCACTCGGACATGCTCAGATACTTCTTCGGAAGAAAATTGATCAACCAAACTCGGGATCTCACGGGGAAAACTCTGCAGGTAGGAACACAGGGATGAAGTTACGCACATTCAGCAAACAATGCCATGTAACACAATCCTAGCGGAATACTCCCTGTTGTTTCAGACATCGTTGAAAAAAAAAATTTATGACAGGAGGACAACTTACATTTCAGCAGGCGAAGAAGTTTGCCTCTTCATTTTATCCTCAAGATAATTGACTCGTTCTTTCAGCTCGTTTCTCTCATGCAGGATCTCCTTCAGTTCCTGCGTGGTGAACCTCGGACGATCTGGATCGTCCACATCATAAACTAGCTTCTGTGCTTCGATAAAAGAAGCCTGAATAAATAAAGAAGTTCGAAACATCAATTCGTCAATGCTCTCTCTCCGGGAAAAATGCAGATTAAACATCGTCGAATCGATAGACCTCCGCAGAACCCGGAGCATTCTCGCTCGAGGGCACGTTTCCGGCAGAGAAAAAAGCCCTGCCCCACGGCTTCGCCAATACTCGGAAACCAAAACCTCGGGACAGGAAATCTCTGAGCCCGAGGGAACCTTATCCTCCTCTTCTCCCGACACGTATACAGTTACAACGGATAGGAAAACCCCGAATAAAAGCAAATACTAGTTATGCGACAGGGATTCAGGATATCAACTGGGTTTCTGAAATGCATCCGGTAACAGATCTTCGGTGACAGGATATGAAGAAAAATCAATAATGCATCAGACCCACTTCCGGGAGCTAATTAAACCGCTTCTCGCAACATCCAATTCCGCAGAAGGCACTGATCCAAATAGGGTATCTGTATCCAAAAAGTTCCTCTACATTTGACAAATCAACATTTGAAACCCAACAGGTCGCCACTAATGCTTCATCGAGGTGTAAAAGAATCACTCGAAAATTGCTGAATGGGTGAGGACGTTATCATTACTGTAGAAATTCGAACTAGAAGAACCCTATCAGCTCGTGTAAATATACTGACTGCAGAAATATCCTCTCTATGATAGAAAGGGTAAACAATGGCATCGAATTCCCCTAAAATTCATCGCAATGTTTCAGAAGTGAATTACACAGAACCCTTCCAAAGCTTCAACTTTTTATTGGCACATTGCATGTGTTGACTGATTCTTCCAGTATTCCAGGAGTTTAAATATTCTCTGGCTGATCTCCAAAATATCAGATTTTATGTCGTTTCTTCTGCACACTTACCTTGAAGTTGAGGAAAATTATTCTATTCAAATTTCTGGGGGACATTTTGCCCATTTTTGATCAACAGAAGAACCAATCAAGGGTTTTCCCACTGAAGTCTACAGAAAAACGTGATCCACCATGTGGACATTCCGACATAAGGACAAAGTCCCAGCACAGATTACGTCCACATTGTTGCGTCCCAAAGCGACGCAGCTCCAGCATCTGGTTGCAACTGGACCCAAAAACTTGTTGGATCTCAAGGCCAGTGAGCCTCGCAAAAATCCTGTTTTTGGAAGACTCACTGAGCCTCACTCAAGGACAAGAAGTGGTCATCACTTCCTCAATTTTTCATGAATTGGCCAATCCTGAGCCAGGAAGAAATCACCTGATTTCTTCCTGACCCAGTCCAAGCACCTGGGTATAAAATCCTTCATTCCTCTTTGAGAGGAGAAGTCCAAACCTAGTGTTGAAGGGCCTTTCAACTTCAATTACCTCATTCAATATTCTGAGCTAACCAACCAATCTTACAATTGACTCTGCCATTAAAACCCTTGAATTAACAGCCAATTGATGAATTGGGCAATGAGAATGAACTCCTCTGAAAAGAGTTTGAGTTCATATTCAAAAATTGCATTCTGATGGCTGCATAATTCAATTCCTTTGTCTGGGATCCAATGGACCCATGACACACATCTTGATGCCCCAAGGTTAAGTTAGTCAATTTCACGCAAACATTTGAGTAGAGCAGTCTCAAGGTTTCTGGCCACGGAAATTCATAAATATCCCATCATTAGAAGGTGTGAGGAGGCCTAACTGTCTCGAATACTCTGTGCTTGTGGGGATCTTTGTCTGGTGGCGAATTTTAAAACAGTTAAACACACTGTGATGGCCATTTTGAAAGACACCAATTCTGCCTGAAATGCAGCCCATGGGCCAGTTCTGGCCTGCGAAGACTCTTCATCCATCTTCCAGTCTCTTCTACATAATTTTCAAGGTGGCAGTCACCACTATTCAATATTCATATTGAAAGATGAATTTAAAAATTCAGTGTTACTCCACCCTTCAAAAATTCTATAAGGCTACGCAGATGATTCAATAAATAGCAATGAATTATACTGTATTTGAACCTTTACATTTGAAAGGGGAAAATTCGAACCTCAAAAAGTACTATCTATCGTGGCCCGAAAGAACTTTTCACCTCTGGAATGTAGCCCTCGGCCATCAAAAATGTGTTCATTTCGCCCTTGGAAACATCTGAGTCGGGCAGCAGTGCACTACACTGAAGTATCTCAGTGAAAACCAATTCAAAGAAGAATCACTTCTTCGAGTACGTCACAAAGGAGAGATTCTTGGGAAGAACTGTTGCTCAGTCATGATCAATAGCATTTCCAAGAGTGGGTTCATTTCGAGAAAACTGGGCGAGGCTTTCAACACGAACCTGCGGGGTTGAAGAAAGAGCTTTTTCTTGCTTCAAAGCCGAGTTCTCCCTCGTCAATTCCACAAGTTCAGTCTGGAGATCTGCTCTTTCCCCAACCATCAAAACGATCTGCTCCTTCACAGACTTCAATCGTCGCTTCAAGTCTCGGCACGAACCGTTCATTGTCTCCAAGCTCGTTTGAGACTGTAACAACGGACCAACTACTGCATCATGTGAATGTTCGGCATGAACAATAAAAAAATAAATAAAAAAAACGGGAAGAAACGTACCGAGTCCAATTGTCGCTCCAACTCATAAATTCTAAAATCCTGGCGCCGCACTTGGTCTCGTAGACTATCCACTTTGTTCTGTAGACGTTCCACAATTCCGTGGTCCAATTCGGGGCTCATTGGAACTATACAAAGCAAATACGATACTGTTCATGTAATTAGAATACGATCAAGTACACATGGTCCGTTTACAAGTGTACTACAGTACAATATGTATAGGATTATCATAAGATTTTATGGCGTTCTAATCCGATATTTCCCCTAATAATAAAATTTATCATATAAAGGAGCATCATGATGTTCTTGAGGCAACTTCATGGTGCTGCAGTCTTGGCCACAAAAAAATAAGTCCACCGACAGCAATCTTTTACAGTGGAACCCCGCCATACGGAAAATTTGGCTCCAAAACGTGAATGAAGTCTGCACGATATCCGGACAATCAATCAAAATATGGACAGTTTTCCGAAATTCCTAAAATATTTGAAACATTTTTTTTTCTGAATTTAGATATACAGGTGGACTCTCTACAACGATCTTGTTTACAACGATTCTCTGTGTAACACATTTTTCTTAGGTCCCGTAGGGTTCTTTTCCCATGTTATACGTCTCATCTAAAACGAAATTTAATCTTCCACGAATTTTTTTCAAGTCCTTCAAATTTCTGTATAAAGAAAGTCCACCTGTATGTTGAATAAATTTAGCTATTTTCCTTCATAAAAATTCGAAATAAATGTCTTGATAAAATTACTCCAATTCATAATCAAAAACAGTCTGATTTTATGATTCTTCTTTCAGAGTTTCTTTCATCACGTGTACACAGCATAGCTGGACTTGTTATTTGCTTCTTGAGCTCCTTCTTATGCCAAAAGATCAGATTATATACAAGGGTTCTAACAAAAGTTCTTGGAGTAGCAATAAAAATGGCTTACAATTGAGCTTAAAAAAATTTATCCTTTAGGGAAAACATATTCTTTGGCACACAAAAAAATATCAGCCCTGTTTGACAAATTCTTTCTATTTTTTTTCATAATTCACCCTGGCACAGTTTTCCTCTCAACTCAAAAGATGTGGCGCCCTTTTTTTGTTGTAGCCCAGCTTTCCCCTCAGAATTTTTGATAACAAAAAAAGGGCGCCACATCTTTTGAGTGGAGAGCAAAACTCTGCCAGGGTGAATTATGAAAAAAATTCGAAAGAATTTTTCAAACAGGGCTGATATTTTTTTGTGTGCCAAAGAATATGTTTTCCCTAAAGGATAAATTTTTTAAAGCTCAATTTATGGGTTTCTTCTGCATCTTGAAGTTGGGAACAGAAAATCTACTATAATTTTTTTGGGAAGATATTCCTAGATTTTGATGAACATGAGAAAGAAAAAACAGAAGTAGACGGGAAAATTTTTTCAGACATACGGACGCTTAGAAATAGGAACAAGATCCCAACACCAATTACGTCAATCGCTGTGACTTCTAGCATATTTTGGTAGCAGATTAGTGAAGCTATGGGCTCTTTTTCCGTCGTAAACCCAACCTTAACAATAAATTCGAAGAAGAAGCTTGAATTTCAATTTTCAGAAAAGTGAAACAATCAAAAAATCACATTATCTGATTTTACATTTCGCAGGCAGAAATAAAATTGACAGTGCAGCCTTCAAAACAGTAGACTATCGATTTTTCCACATCATTAAACACAGCGCATGCCCTGAAAATACGACCTGGTGCAAATCTTGGGAGCTTAAATCAATACGAAAATCGTCTTTCGCGTATTTTGGTGGATTTACGCACCGGAGTCACGACACGTGCTTACTCTCGCGCTTCAATGCGTTAAATGAAGCTGGTTAAGCACGCAAGATCAGTCTCGAATGAATAACGACATACCAGCGCTTGACGGCTGATTGGCGATGATTCCAGCCAGCCTCGCGTTCTCTTGCTTCAGTTGCGAGACAAGAAGTCCAAGATCTCTCGTTTCTTTTGTCCACGACTCCTCCATGGTCTCCAAATCCTACAACACGAATTAGGAAAAAGTCCTTTCAACGAATACTGTACTTCTTCAACTGAGGTCATGGATAAAGAGAGGTTCGCGACCTTCTCTGGGATTTGACAAGCAGCTCGGAAAATACGACGAGAAAATACAAATGTTCGAAATGGACTGAAATCTGTGACGCAGTAATTAAACTCGAATACAGTATTCTTGTAGAAAAGAGAGAGATTGATTTCTAGAATGGACCATGGACTACACTTTCCGCAACCGATGATGATGAAACATTCCTCAAATGATAAGAGGCAGCAATTGTCATTCAAATTCAAAACAATCGACACAATTCATGAATAAAAATCGGTTTCTCCCACCTACAGTTACCGCTGCTTTCCGTTTATTCTCTAAATTCAACCCAAAATCTAAATTATGAAACTTTACTGAGTTAGTTAGTAGACTCGCATCCAAAAATATAATACAGGTGGGCACACTGTACAACGATCTTGTCTACAACGGTTTTCTCAGTACTGAACAACGATTTTTTTTGGGTTCCATGGGGTTCTCTCCCTATGTTTCACTCTCTCTCTCTCTACAACGACCTTTTTCTGGCCCCTTGAATTTCGCTGTGGACAGTCCACCTGTATAAACAGGAGGGCTTGGGCAGTTGTAAAATAATTTACGGTATACCGAATGGTCTTGGCCTCCCCGAGGTACAGCATTTTCCTATATCCCCTTCCATACAGAAAAAACATGCCGAAAATATTTAAAACAAAAGGCGAAGTCTACAAAACCAGGGAGGACTTAACGTTCTTCCTACACTGCATCAATTACTCCAACACAAATGATTTGAAGATTTCCAAGAGAACTCGAAATTCAAATACAAATAGAATTGTTACAATTCCCCTAGAATCATTTTGGCTTTTCAAGAACAAAGCACAAGTCAATTTTATCATTTAGCTTCACTTCAGCCTCTGATTTTGCAGTTGAGCCTCTTCAAGTCAAACTTCAATGGACCAGAAAAAAATAGGATCAAGAAACAAGCACAGAGGGGAGGGAAGAAATAATGACAAGAAATTGTAATACAGTAAGTTATATTCTTGGCCATAAATTGTTTCTTGAACAAGGTGACAGGGTGCTGAACTTGGAGGCAGGGGTTCATTTTTCCGATTACTCTTTCATTTCCATTCCAAACACATCAAGTAACTGTATTCAAATACCACATGCCCTTGAATACAATACGCGTCCAAATTTGTTCGCGCGAAATTTGTAAAAAAAATAATAATAATCCCGGTGTAAGACCCCGCACCCCAGTTTTTTTTTTTGTTGCTGTAAATTAAGAATTGTGAAGTATTTTTGTGAGTAGATCCATTTTCCCCCATCGATATTTGGTCTTCCCTGCTTTTCAATGTCTGCTGGAACAAATAAAATGTGCTTACAATAAACCACGACTTCCTCAATTAGATGCACTTCTTCTTACTTCCTTTACATCCTGTTGCACCTCCAACTCATATATTCTTAACATTGTTATTGCTTGAAGTCTTTGAACTATTATTTCTGGTGGACAAGGAGACTTGGTGCACAAATATCCTCCATTTTTTCCTGTTCCCTAGATGTACTCACTTGCTCATTAGGGGCCATGGGTTTGGGGATTCTTCAATCTAGAAATGTATCCCTCAGTACCCTGCAAACCTCATCTTTCTGCCTCTATTTCTGGAAAAAAATGTGCACGTGGTACTCAAGTGAATATGGTAATTTTTATTGCTTTTCTCTCTCTGGTGCCAAGAAAATAATTGCCAAAAGGCCTCCAAAATTCTAGTTACCAAGGTTTGAGAGGAAAAGCCAGTTCAAGAGGTTTTATATGCATTGTTTTTAAGAGAATTCAGATGAGGACTTTAAAAAATTCTACTTTGTGAGGTTCAACTTATTGATGCTCGACCGTATAATGTAACCCTCTTCACGAAGCATAACCCTGGATTAGAGGCAAAATTCCATCTACACCGCTACACAATCGTAACCCAGAGTATCCCATGTGCAACAGTCGTGTGATTACAGGAAGAATAGATCCCCTCACCTGGGCCGAACCACCAGTTGAGAATAAGTTCCTTCGCACGATAATGGTGAACGATGGCCCGGAACTCGGTACTCACCCGCTCGTACTTGACGCGACATTCAGCCTTCTCATTCCTGTCGGATTCGAGTTGATGGATCCGAGACTCGTAGTCCTGAATCCGCTGAAACTCGGCTTCGTTTCGCATCGCCACGGACTCCATGCGTTCCAAGATAGCTATCACTTTAGGCATAACGCCCTGGACGACAGCAGGTCCATGCTGGTCGATGATCCGCTCGAACTCCTTGCCCACGTCAGTCGCCATGTCGTAGACTTCAACCACGGTCAAGCTTTCCGGCTCCGAATCCATCCTGTTGGTCGGGTGGTATTCTCCCTCGTCCAATTGTGGCATCAAGCCCAGCGATTCCCGAGTTTCATGAACACGCCTTCTGACAACTGTAGCACCTAGAGAAAAACACGTACAACTTTAGATCACAAATTCAGATGGTAATGAGCATAGTTAACTCAAACGTCGCCGAGAATAAACAGCAAATCCAGACTCTCCTCTCTGATTCACTCACAAGTTCACGCGTCGAATTAAGCGCGCATGATTTACTTCGAATATTTGCGATGACAGTTCATAGAAATTCTTCAAAAAAAAAAAAACAATTCATTGCTTCTCACACTTAATCTCATAGTCAGTTTTTCCACATAACGCGTTCAGCTCTTTCTCAGCGACATAAATACACAGTCTGGGTACACTTCGATACTGCCCCCCAACTTAACCGTAGTCATTATATGGTTAAATTACATTTAACGCTGCGTCATTATATGGGAACACCGTGCGCATCAATGATGACGATCCATTCACCAAAATCAGAATTGTTCTCAACTTGCGGAATAGAGAATCAGGAACTAAGCATAGATCCATCAATCGTTAGATCACATAAAAAGCTCTTGATCCATTCTCCTTAACATATACGGTACTGAAATTCGAAAACACTGATGTTTCCAGTGTAAATGATACAATTCTTAATTGACGCGGGGTAGAAAAGATGCGTAACGTAATCTCCAATCCTCTCTTCCTTTAATTGAAAAGACGTTATCTAGCCAAATAGCTGCAAGATATATCATAAATGTCTGCTGGTGCGCAGTAGCGTAAAAAGCAATTAAAATATCAGAAATATACCGTAAACTAGAATGGTTGTTCACGGGAGAGTACACTTGGCTGCTGCCACGCTGAATGATCGTCCTTTGTACTGCGAGAATCGCGGAACCGAGATGAAGACCCTCATCAAAAGCAGGATACAAGCGATAGTCATATTGTCAAAAATGTTAGATGCTCACGAAAATGTTACAAGATGATCTCAATCAGAGGAGTAACTTATTTTATTGAGATTTCGGAACTTGACGAGTTATTTTGCATTAACGCTCATGAACAGTTGGTCAACCAGAACATTGTCATTGGTTGTTAAGCTATATAAAAAACTGTGATTGATGGAAACTTTTGAGGCGCAATGAGCAATCATAAAACTAACGTTAACATTTATATACCGTAAACGGAATGCCAGTACTGTACCATCCATCATAAAGCAGAAGTGAAGAATGAAACCGGCAGTGGGTTGAATAACTTTGAACACATCACGAAGCTGAATCATAGGGAAGCATATTATCATTTACTTTTTAAACCAGAGGCGTGCCTTTGTTCCCACGAGCGAGATAAGCAAAACGAGATTCTGGAGGTGAAGAGAAGCAAAGGTGAATGAAAAGTTTCAAAAATACTAGAAAAGATCATGCTTTCGAATGCAGAAACTGTTCCCTGACGGTTAGCTTTTCTCATCGCAAAAAATTTGAAGCATCGTAATAAAAAAAAGTTACATCTACTAACTTGGTAGGTGACCCGCGCGATACTGGAGCCCGGGGGAACCCGCCAGCGGGATTTTCCCTGAACGGAACCACGCAGGCCCAGTTCAAACCCCCGGCTGGTAATTTCCTGCAACACCTCTCCACATTCTCCAGAATCGAAGCCTGAAATATTAAGACGAGTCGAGCTGAAGCGTAACACAACAGGAACCCTCGCTGTACCTTAAATTAACCTGGACTAGACAACACGAGGAACAGTTTGAATATACCTCAGATCTCCTGCTTAAAAGTCCAAATTTTAGCCAAAATCAAAGAAAAAAGAAAGATGGTTTTTGGACCTGCATGGTACAGTGTCGCAAAAGCTAGTATTAGCCCTGACGAAAATCCACTTATCCTGATCAGGAAATTCTTCCATCTGGAAATTTTCCGTGACTTGACTGTGTCTACAATACATCTTTCCAGGTGTCCGACGCGCAGACGGCTACGCTAAGAGTTGATAGGAGTAAAATAATTCAGATAAACATTATCGCACAAAAGACATGCTTCAAAGTTCCACAAGGTGTTAACCAACCCAAACCAATACACCACTTGCACACAATAAGGAAGTTATCAGAAATAAATGGTCTTCAACACTTGCCACAATGTAGATGTGGTCTTCTTGATTCACACAACTTATAAATACAGTCAATACATCACAACATAAAAAGTGAAGTGCTCAGTACAATAAGGTGATGGAGAGAATCAGACCTTTCTTCACAAACACTGGACTATTATTTCACAATCACACAGAATAACAGTTACAATCAGTCAAAGCTCAAAGGAGTTAATTCCTCAAAGGCTCCAGTCCAAGTGAGGATGTTTCTCCTCCCTTGTGGACTTCTCCAGTGGTTCTCCAGATGGGGTCACAGATAAGAGGTTTCTGGGTTGGGACTTTGAACATTTAGGTCTCCTCCAATACTGCCTCCTAGATGTCGCCTTCTTCTGTAAAGGGGAACCCTTACTCTCCCCCCCCCCCCCGGGGAAAAAGAGCTTGTCTCCGAGTCGCGCTGGTTGCCGAAACCCGAAAAAGAAAAATCGCGCGGTGTTGGCAACAAAGGTTGTTGACTGGGAAAAGAACTCTGCGCATAATCCACAGATGGCATAGGTTCACTGACCGAAGACTCAACAACACTTGGGCAAACAACACTTGGGCGCGCATAAGAATGGTCAACAACATGATCTACAATTGTCAAAACACCACTGCTGGGGCTGATAAGGCCCAGTTGTTTGTCGAATCCTGGTATTGGTGCTTGGGGTAATCCACGGAACTGGACCATCTCCCAGGCATTGACCCTGCGTACATGCAGGCCGGCCCCAACCCAGTATTCGCCGTTTCCTTGGTTGGAGATCACCATAAAAGGTCCGAGTTTCTGAGTCCTGAAGCGTTGGTTTGCTGCGTGATGGTCTATGGTTGGGAGTCGAGGGAAGATCGCTATTAAGTCACCTGGTAAAAAGGATGGCAATTTCCGCTTGTTGGCCTGCGCGATGAACTTTTCTCATTGGTCGATGACATGCTGTGTCATCTGGTGTAGCCAAAGTTCCAAATTTTGTCGCTGGATGTTGAACTTGCGATTGGCCGCGAGTGTTGTTGGCATCCCGAACATGGCTTCCGCTGGCGTAACTCCCTTGATGGAGTGGGGCGTCGAGTTGTAAGCGGCGACTGAAGCTGCAAGGTGTGTGACCCATGCTGTTTCATTGCCGAGGACTGCTTTGGCCTGGATCTGCCCAAGGGTCTTGATTGCCCTTTTGCAACAGCTGTTGCCCTCTGGATGCGATGCCTGCGCTATGTGCTGCTTGATGTGAGCACCCTTCAAAAAATGCCAAAAAGCTTTACTACGGAAAACAGAATCAGCATCGGTATGTATGATCTCAAATTCCGTGAGGTCCCTGCAGATTTCTGTGAGAAAAGGGACAACAGTCTCCGTGTTTGCAGCGGGAATCAGTTTAGCGATCATGAACTTGCTGAAATGTTCAAGGGCAATTATTGCGTACTTAAAACCTTCAGGTGAAGTGGGAAGAGGGCCATAGAAGTCGACGACGAGGCGTTCCTGCGTGTGTGTCAATTTGATGGGTGACAGAATAGTGCAGATGGTCTGCGACGGTTGGTTGAATCAGAAACAGGTGGTACAGCTGATGATGCGCTGCCAAATCTGCTGACGCATGCCGGGCCAATGAAACCAGTCGTGGAGAGTGATGTAAATCTTCTTCCAACCCGCGTGGGCAAGTTCAAAGTGATAGGCATCAATGATGGCTTTGAGGTCCTGAACGTCCGGGGTTGGTAAGACTTTGGCGGCGTTGAGGGAGATCCGACTAAGGGCGTCAGGCCCCTGGAGGAATCGACCCGGTCAATAAAGCAGCTCAAATTTAAAACCTGCCAGTTTTGTATACAGGCTGACCGCCCGTTCCTTTTGTAGATCGCCCAAGAGTGCCTTGTGGTCGGTGTTCACTGAGAACTGCCTGTGGAGAAGATGATGTTTAAACTTCTTCGTAATGCTCCATACCACTGCCAGGAGCTCGCGTTCCGTATTTGTATAGCGCATTTCCATATCGCTTAGCACTCTGCTTGCATACTCGATAATGCGGTCCTTCCCGTCAGCGTCCGTTTGAACAAGTACTGCCCCCAGGCTGATTGCTGAGGCGTCACAATGGACAGACAGCGGCAGATGTGGGTTGATGCACTCCAGCTTGGAGGCGTTGGCGAGGCAGAGTTTGAGCTTCTCAAAAGCCTGCTCTGCCACGTTGGACCACTTCAGGCGCGTGTCGGGTTTCCGTGGGATTGTTGACTTCAGAGCTTTCTCCGAATCCACAAAGTTCGTGGGAAGATGGGCCCTGAGATAGGTCGCCATCCCCAAGAACCGTTGCATCTGTCGCGTCGTGGCGGGTTTTGGGTAATCTTGTACAGCATCGACGTTTTGTTCTGTGGGTTGGCTGCCGGTCTGGTCGATGATGTGCCCCAAAAAGAGAGTCTGCTTTGCAAGAAAGTTGGATTTTTTAAGGTCGATGGCGGCGCTGGCATCCTGTAAAGTTTGGAGGACATCGTCTAAATTAGCACAAAGTATTTCAAAGGATTCTCCAAAGATGAGCACGTTGTCAACATAAGCCAGGCACTTCTTGTATAGATGAGGTCGCAAGATCGTGTTCATTGTGCGCTGGAACATGGCTGGGCCGTTCTTGAGGCCAAAGGGGAGAACCTTGTACTGTACTTGTCCTCTGGGCGTCATAAAGGAGGTCTTGGGACGGTCTTCTTGCGAGATTGGGAGATGATGGTAGGCATTGTGTAGATCCAATCTGCAAAAATACTGATTTTTACGACCAAGAGCCTCGATGAACTCCTGCACAACAGGCATAGGGTAGTTGTCGTCAAGGACTAGCTTGTTTAGCTCCTTATAGTTCTCCACCAGGCAAAAGCGCTTCTCAATGGGGGCCGTCCGATTGTCGCACTTTTTGTCTACCAGAAACGTGGGGGCATTGTAGGGAGAAGCGGCCGGCTCCAAGATCCCTGCCTCCAAGTAATGGTCAATGAGTTCTGCAAAGGGCACATTCCGCTCAACCAAGTGCCGGTACTGACGAGTAGTGGGTGGTGGAGCATTGACCGTTGGTATGCGCACAACATGATCTGGAAAAAGACCGCGTTTGCCGGACCATTGGCAGATAACGGGAGCGTGTGCGCGTAAAATCTCTGAGATACGTTTGCGTTCCGCGGCGGCGCCGTTGGAGAAAACAATGCCTTCGCCAACTGCGTCTGTCAGAGTGGCAGCAGGATGCGTGATTTCACAGAATCCTGTGAAAAGGCGTTGACCATCAATGGTGATGGCGACCGGCAGGTGCACAAGCAGCGTGCGACCAAAAATAAAGTCGTAGTCGCGGAAACAAGGTAAAACAAGAAAGACGGCTTGGTATTCTATGCCGTGAAAATAAAAGGTAATGAGAGTCGTGCAAGTCACGGAGACAGGGTTGGGTCCCAAAGCAGTACTAACGGATGAATGAAAGGGGGAACAGGTCAAGTTAAGAGAGCAAACAATACCTTCGGAAACAAAAGAGTGGGAAGCCCCGGTATTGAGCAAACCTGTATACGGGTGATCCTGAATGGAGATCTGATGAACCACAGGAGGAGGCGCGGCGGAGAAAGTTGTCGCGGCGGAGCATTCACTGAACCGGTTTGGCATTTCCCTGGTTCTGCGGACATTCGTGATGCATGTGACCAGGTTTGTGACAGTTGAAGCAGACAATGGTGGACGAGTTGCTGGAACGGGTTGTCTGCGCAGCGGAAGAAGACGAGGCCGGTTTGGAAGACCCGCTTTTGGTGGAACCGGATGAGGCGGACTGGTTTGGTTGGAGTCTACACTCGTGCGATCCATGCCGCATGTTCCTTTTATGATATTTGCACCACTGCCAAGGGGGCAGGTTGAGGCGCTGTTGGGAACCGGATTTCGAGGTATGGGCGGTATTGTTGGCTGCGGACTTGTTGCGATGATTCAACAGATACGCTTCCGCTATGTCGACCATCTTGTCCCAGGTGAGCGTCCAGTTTTTGTGCCACTTGCGCTGCAACTTGTCCTTAAGGCCGCCGTCGGAATTCCGGAATAACTGCTCCATGAGGACCTGCTGCAGTAGAGGTTCCACGTTGTCCAAGATCTCCGCCGAGAAGTGGAGAAACGTCTTGTACTGGTCCCGCAGGCGTTCTGCGAAGCTGGCGTAGCTTTTGCCGTCACGAGGCTTCATCCACTGGAAGGTGTCGAGGCAATCCAACCGTGGGGTTGGATGTCGACTGGCGATGGCCACGACCAGCGGTTCGAATTCTGTAATCCCCCTTTTGTAAAGTCGATGAGCCATACCTTGGATATGAGCGAGGGTGTTGTCCATGAGACATCGCACCCAATGACCGCCGTGCACGTTGTCAATGTCCACTTGATTCCTTAAACGCATTGCATAATCTTTGAATTCTTCTTTGGCCTGTTGTTTCAGTAGCTCAGGGATCTGAGGCTCCTGGAGGTTTGCGACGGGGCAGATGAGGCCGAGGTGATCATGCTCTGGGACGAGGGTCCGGCGGGCAATGGATTGAGCGTCGGTTTGATGTTCTGCTCCGGTCGGGGTTCGGTGTTCTGTTCACGTCGGGGTTGGACCTCCGGATTGCGTTGGTTCTCCTGTTTGCGTTGGTTCTCCATTTTGAGTGCTGCGGCGGCTGCTTGTCGAGAGTTTTCGGTATTTCGCACCAGGAAGTGTCCACATGTCTCCGTAAAGAAATCGCTATAAGTGGCTGAGCCCCCAATAAGGTGATGGAGAGAATCAGACCTTTCTTCACAAACACTGGACTATTATTTCACAATCACACAGAATAACAGTTACAATCAGTCAAAGCTCAGAGGAGTTAATTCGTCAAAGGCTTGAGTCGAAGTGAGGATGTTTCTCCTCCGTTGCGGACTTCTCCAGTGGTTCTCCAGATGGGGTCACAGATAAGAGGTTTCTGGGTTGGGACGTTGAACGTTTAGGTCTCCTCCAATACTGCCTCCTAGATGTCGCCTTCTTCCGTAAAGGGGAACCCTTACTGTACAAAGGCTAGGAGCAAAGTGAAGTGGGAAGCTCCCTGCTGGTTCCACCTCTCCTCTGGGCCAAGTATGCGGATGTTTGGGTGAGGCAGATGGGTACGGTGAACAACACGGGAGTTCCACAGGGTTTGTATAGGTGTCGCTGTAAGGGGATACCTTACTCTCCCCCCCTCAACAAAGTTATTGATCTTGTGTTTTTAAACCGCACTTCAAGGCACCGGCATACGTATGGTCCGATTTGGGTACAGGGGGTTTGGCGTCATTGTTCGACAAATAATAGTGCTTGAGGAGTACATTCAATTCAGGCGCGCATCCAGCAGTGGGGTTTGCAAAACAAAAATCACTGTCAATGTAGGGGAGTTGCTTTGTTCCCGTGGGAACCACTTTCATATGCTTGAGGGGGTCCTTGTCTGGCGGTCGTGGGAGTCCGGGAGCGGGTGCCATTTCCCACGCGTTTGCTCTGCAGACAAAGGGTCCCACGCCAACTAGGTATTGTCCATCTCCGATGTAGCATATGATGATATATGGTCCCAGCTGCATGATGCGGAAGCGTTGGTTGGCCGCGTGTTGCTGGACAGTGGGAAGCCAGGGTTGGATGGCAACAAGATCTCCGGGATTATAAAGGGTGGCCTCAATTTTCGATTTGCAAAAAGCCTGTCGGGCTGTTTTGCTGCTGTTTTGGATGTTCTCCAGTTGCTCATCAATCGGGGGGGGGGGGGCTCCACGCCAAACTGTTTGTCCGCTTTCAGTCGCACTGGTTTCCCAAAGAATGCCTCTGCCGGGGAAATAGATGTGGTTGATTGTATGGT